TGTGTGCGTGTGAGGTTCTTCCTTGTACTGTGTACTGTGTATAGCAGTCTTGGTTGGGTCTTGCCTTTATTTGCTGTCATTTTGTGGTACGTAGCCTCGAGGGGTGAGGACAGGGAAAGTAGTGGGACAGAGGGAGAGGACAGGAGAGAAGCGGGAAGGGATGAGCGATAACACCCCTCACTGTCACATCACTGCAGTCCTCCTGTGTATGGAGTCTGCCTCCAATGCCTAGTGCAGGCACACTCCACACAGTTTCAAATGTAGATATGATAGAACCCAGTAGGCTCAGGAATCTGTACACCAGTTGCGGGCCCCGTGTGGCGTTGTGGTAAGACACTCATCTGGCGTTTCGCGAGTGCTTCAATCCGTCCTTGACTCAAGTCCATTACATCCAGTGGTCGACCCCACAGCAGTCCGTCCTCCAAACAAAGACCCAAAAGTGATTCCGTGCACCCGCCAAACCCTCAGCTGTTTATGAATGAAAAACGCTTTACACACGACTCACAAATGATCATGTTCGAACACTTCCGGAACAAGGGCTTCACTGACGACTTTTGTTCGACCCACACCGCTGTAAATGCTTCACCCACGTACTACAAATACCAATAATCGCCAACAGAACCTAAACACCTAACTTAACCTAAACTATGCCTATTTATGCACAATATGCTAATATAATATAATATTATTTATATTTGAGAAGATTCCCGTTTTGAATGAACAGCATGTAAAAATTTATGAATGCGTCTGTGGGGTCGACCGCTGGATGTAATGGACTTGAGTCGAGGACGGGTTGCCCACAGACGCATTCATAAATTTTTACATGTTGTTCATTCAAAACGGGAATTTTCTCAAATATAAATTCATATTATAATATAATAGCATATTGTGCATATATAGGCATAGGTTAGGTGTTTAGGTGAAGCATTTACAGCGGTGTGATTCGAACAAAATTCGTCAGTGAAGCACTTGTTCCGGAAGTGTTCGAACGAAATCAGTTGTGAGTCGTGTGTGCAAACCGTTTTTCATTCATAAACAGCGGGTTTGGCGGGTGCATGGAATCACTTTACAATATAGGATATAGGACAATATCCAACTCTAGCCCCAGACATCACTCGGTACCCCTACTCAAATCTCTGAATATGTTTGACATTAAGTCACTGCACATTCTCTCATGTGTATTATACATATATAAAACGCTGAACTGTAATGTCAATCCTGACCTCAAAAGCTTCATTGAAGGTTGTAACAGAACCCATGAGCACCACACCAGAAACAAATACAGTTTTGATATTCCAAGAGTACGACTTAATCAAACTAGAAATGCTCTACAAATCAAAGGACCCAGAATGTGGAATGACCTTCCCAACCATGTTAGACTGTACCTCTCTCAACCAGTTTAAGATAAAAACGAAGCACTACCTAATAAATTCCCTGTAACCTACCTTACCCCTATATTGTCAACCCATGTCTGTTTTTTTAAGCAACGCTGTTTGTCGACCTAACTGTATTTGTGCTACTTTTTCAGCCATGTTCCCCCTTTTTATTTTTATTTTTACTTGTTCTCAACACATTTTATACTTTAAACTCAATTAGTATTAAGTTTTAGTCTTTAATGTTTTTCCTGCCCGAAACGCTTTGCGTAATAGTGGCTTTAGGCATTGTATGTACTAGCTCTATCTATAAATCTATCAATTTTTGTAAAATATCTTGTATGTATGTACCTTACCTGAATAAACATTTATTTATTTATTATTATTATTACTTTTGGGTCTTTGTTTGGAGGACGGGCTGAGTGCTTTGTCATGGGTTCGCATCCTGGCCGGGGAGGATTTACTGGGCGCCAATCCTTAACTGTAGCCTGTTTACCCATCAGTAAAATGGGTACCTGGTTGTTAAACGATTTGGCGGGTCGTATTCCAGGGAATATTAGGATTAAGACCTTGCCCGAAACGCTACGCGTGCTAGTGGCTGTACAAGAATGTAACAACTCTTGTATATATAAATATAAATATAAATAAATTAATATTAAGTTGAATGACAGTTGAGAGGCGGGACCAAAGAGCCGAAGCTCAACCCCTGCAAGTACGTCTAGCTAGCTGAGTACAGGGAGGGTAGGGGGGAAGGGGTGAGGACAAGGAAGGATAGAAGGGAGGGGCGAGGAGAGGCTATAGGTAGGGGAAAGGAGTGGGGAGGGAGGAGTGAGGATAGAGGGAAACATTACAACATTTGGGCAACACAGACGCCATTGAACAGTAAAATGTTCGTATCCTATCCTGTTTCTGATATACGTAAATGATCTCCCGGAGGGCATAGCCTCATTCCTCTCAATGTTTGCTGACGACGCCAAAATTATGAGAAGGATTAAGACAGAGGACAGCTTGAGGCTTCAAGAAGGCCTGGACAAGCTGCAGAAATGGTCGAACAAATGATTGTTAGAGTTTAACCCAAGCAAATGTAATGTAATGAAGATAGGGGTAGGGAGCAGGAGGCCAAATACAAGGCATCATTTGAGAGACGAAATACTTCAAGAGTCAGAGAGAGAGAAAGACCTGGGGGTTGACATCACGCCAGACCTGTCCCCTGAAGCCCATATCAAGAAGATAATATCAGCGGCATATGCCAGGTTGACCGACATAAGAACGGCATTTAGAAACTTGTGTAAGGAATCATTCAGAACTTTGTATACCACATATGTCAGACCAATCCTGGAGTATGCAGCCCCAGCATGGAGTCCATATCTAGTCAAGCATAAGACTAAACTGGAAAAGGTTCAAAGGTTTGCAACCAGACCTGAAAGGTTATGAGATACGAGGAGAGACTGCGGGAATTAAACCTCACGTCGCTGGAAGACAGAAGAGTTAGGGGGAACATGATCACCACACAAAATTCTCAAAGGAATTGATAGGGTAGACAAGGACAGGCTATTTAACACAAGGGGCACACGCACTAGGGGATACAGGTGAAAATTGAGTGCCTAAATGAGCCACAGATATATTAGAAAGAACTTTTTTAGTGTCAGAGTGATTAACAAATGGTATGCATTAGGCAGTGATGTGGTGGATGCTGACTCCATACACAGTTTCAAATATAGATGATAGAGCCCAGTAGGCTCAGGAATCTGTACACCAGTTGATTGAGAGTTGAGAGGCGGGACCAAAGAGCCAGAGCTCAACCCCCGCAAGCACAAATAGGTGAGTACAGTTATCGAGAGTAACATTAACGACATACACCACAGACTGAAAGACTCAAACCTCTGAAAACTCTTACTGGTAAGATTACTTGTGTTAGTAATAAATATGCAAGACTAATTTACATATTGTTTACCAAATCTCTAGTTGATTGTCATGCCTTGCATTTCACTAACTCCCTCGCCTCTACCAAGAAGAAACAAGAACACAAAATGAAGCCACGATGATGATTCTTGGTGGCACAAGATGAACTAGACTCATCGGAGTGAGATGAGCTACACTGTCCCACTATTCTCTTAAGAATAGTCAACAGTACTTTTGTTCATTATCGTGTCGAGAGATGGACATCTCCCAACTTATCTGCCTCCCTTCCCCCCCCCCCCCACCACCTTCCAAGCTAGACGTACTTGCAGGGGTTGAGCTTCGGCTCTTTGGTCCCGCCTATCAACTGTCATTCAACTTAATATAATATATACGTAAATGATATATGAGGGTATAGCCTCATTCCTCTCAACGACGCTAAAATTATGAAAAGGATTAAGACAGAGGACAGCTTGAGGCTCCATGAAGACTTGGACAAGCTGCAGAAATGGTCGAACAAATGGTTGTTAGAGTTTAACCCAAGCAAATGTAATGTAATGAAGATAGGTGTAGGGAGCAGGAGGCCACTACGGCCTCCTACATGTGTGATTCGAACTCCTACTGCCTCCTTAAGTGGCAGGAGGCCACTTACGGTCCACTACGGCCCCTTGGCGGTAGTGGACCAGGAGCCCCACCTCCAGCTGGCCGTGGTGGGCCAGAAGCCCCACCTCCAGCTGGCCGTGGTGGGCCAGGCGCCCCACCTCCAGCTGGCCGTGGTGGGCCAGGAGACCCACCTCCAGCTGGCCGTGGTGGGCCAGGAGCCCCACCTCCAGCTGGCCGTGGTGGGCCAGGAGACCCACCACACACGCCCACCAGCTCCACCCTCGCCAACTGTCAGCACTAAAAGATAACAATGTAAATTGCCCAGTATAGAATTATCCTCGATAAGCCTAACAAGCTTCCTGTCCCGGACAGCAGTACAGCGGTAGGCCTACACCGCCTACTGTATGGTGATCGGGTACATGAGACGCAAATTTAAATTATGTTAAAAAAGCCCATCAAATAATATTCCAGAGTTCATAGACGAGTTATGTGAAAGGAATCAGATTCACCGAGAATTTTATAGAGTATGGGGAACTGTTTAGGTTCAAATTCAAATATAAATTCCTTCTCCTGCACTTATAACACTATATACTGTATTGTTCTTTCAACTACGTATATAGTATATATATTTAGCGATATCTGCACTCGAGCTTTACTAAAATCAGATCCAAGAACTCATTAATAAATTCCCTTACATTTCTTAAAAAAATAAATACACTCAAAAATTCATGATTATATTCTTTTTCATATCAAAGGTGTAGGAAGTTCATATCCTCACATAAATCATTAACAGCGTCATATCCACTAAACATCATATTTACATTTCAGTATTTCCCTCGTCAGTATTTGAAATTAATTATAAACATTTGCTTATATTATCAAACCACCTCTCTAAGACTTCCATTGTGGAGCTGTTTATTTAGGTCTGTGTCACACTACACCACAAGCCACACTATCTACACCACAGGTCACCCTACACCACAGGCCACACTACCTACAACACAGGTCACACTACACCACAGGTCACACTACACCACAGGCCACACTACTAGAGCACGGACTCACTCACTCGCCACCATCATGGACCTATTTACAAGATGTGACCTTTGGCTTCCCTCCCCCCAGGCTGCAACTTCATCAAGGTGGCCAAGGACAAAGCAGACAGTCTGGGCATCACTGGCTGGATTAAGAACAACAAAACCGGCACCGTTGGTGGCCGCCTCCAGGGTCCCAAAGGCCACGTGGAGCAGATGTGAGTACCACCCCTCCAGCTCTTAATAATAATTCATTGTCGGGGAACAAGCAGCCATTATTTATTTTGCAGAGTCGGGCATATTATACATATACTATGTTACTTATGTCGAGGCCCCCGCCTTCCCCCACCCAGGGTCGAATTACTGACCCTCCCTAGGATGCAGCCCCCCACAAGCTGACTAACTCATCTCCCACACTTGCTTCTAGGGGAGAGATAGGAGCATTAGATGACAGGAAATGGGCCATTTCTGTCCCGCCCCGGATTTGAACCGGGAATTCTCGATTGTGAGTCGGGAACGAACCTGACTGTGCTACCCTGCTTTGAATTTAATGGAGAGCAAGCCAGGGACCATAGAAAGTGCAGTAATTATCAAAAGAAGGCATCAAGCCAGGGACCAAAGAAAGAAAGAAATTAATAAACCTGTTAGGCTTTTTGCGGCCACCCTGGGAGAGGGTATGGCCTCAATAAGCCTAACTCACCCATTCAGTTACTGACCAGATCCAACGGTACTTGATGTGGTCGACTGGTGCATAGTGTGCCACATTATGTACTTCTACTGCACCATCAATAGTACTTGATGTGGTCCACTGGTACATAGTGTGCCACATTAAGTACTTCTACTGCACCATCGATACAACACAGTAGATAATATATGTGTTGCATCCATCAAACCAAGCGGTCTGTATATTGATTGATTGATGAAGATTAAGCCACCCAAAAGGTGGCACGGGCATGAATAGCCCGTAAGTGGTGGCCCTTTTGAGCCATTATCGGTATCTGGAGATGTGTGGAGGTGCGGCTGCACCCTGCGTGACGGGAGATGTCTCCCATGGGTCTGTACAGTGATGACCTAGATTTTGGCATGGCTGGCATTTGATCCCCAAAGATCCCAACATGGTTTGGGACCATTCCCTGCAGCTTCTTGTCATCTTGTAAATGCTATGTCGTCATATTAGCATCTTCCCTTGTTGTGTTAGTCAAGTCAAGCAGTTTTTAAAGTGTATTCACCTAGTTGTGCTTACAGAGGTTGAACTATGGCTCTCTGGTCCCACCTCTCAACTGTCAATCAACTGGTGTACAGGTTTCTGAGGCTACTGGGCTTTATCATATCTACATTTGAAACTGTGTATGGAGTCAGCCTCCACCACATCACTTGTGTGCACTAGTTGATAGGTGGTTACGTGTACTTAGCCATAAACAGCTAGGGGCGTGAGATATCATCAACCACTTACCGAAGCCTCATGCAATAAAAAAGTAACTCCCTGTTTTATTATTCAATACCCCAAATGCCAGGGGAAATTTGTATACATCAAGTGGAATGTGGAATGACCTTCCCAATCATGTTAAAGACTGTACCTCTCTCCCAACCAGTTTAAGATAAAAACTAAGTACTACCTAATTAACTCTATGTAACCAACCTCACCCCCAAAATGTCAACCCATGTCTACTATTTTAAACAATGCTGTTTGTTGACCAAATTGTATTTTTGCTATTTTTTCTGCCATGTTCCTCCCCTTTTTTATCTTTTTTATTTTCTCAACACAATATATACTTTAATCTCAATTGTATTAAGTTTTAGTTGTAGTGTTTTTCCTGCCCGAAACGCTTTGCGTAATAGTGACTTTAGACATTGTATGTACTAGCTCTATCTATAAATCCATCAACGTTTTGCATCTCACCTTGTATGTACTTTACCTGAATAAATATTTGTATTTGTATAAGTATTTGCCCAAAACGCTATGTGTGCTAGTGGCTTTACAAGAATGTAAAATCAACTTCATTTTTTTTTTCTATGTTCTCTCTTAATCCCCAGTGTACCTTCTTGTATATAAATAAATAAATAAATAAATAAGTCACTGCACATCCTCTCAAGAGTACTCTATACCTATAAAACTTTGAACTGCAATGCGAATCCTGACCTTAAGCGCGTCCTAGATGCCTTCGGCACCACACTAGAAACAAATATGTTCCTAGCTAGAAGAGAGACTAAGAAATATTTACTTAATATCACGTAACTAATTTCACTCATTTCCCCTTGTAATAAGTTATTCTTGTGTTACTGTTATCGTATGTTTCATTTAAAATTTATAAAAATAAAAAATAATAAATAATAATTACTCTACAAATGTCCTTTCCTTTATTAAGTGTCATCTAAGAGCTGTATCTACACTTGTAAAATTGCTTACTCAACACTTTTATGATCTTTTCTGTTTAATTTTAAGTGTTTGCCCCACTAAACCATGAAATTTTACTAATTTACTGTATGATTTTGTTATGTTCTATTAGCTTAACTAGGGTAAATGTGCACATTTACAGATAAGATAAATGTGCTACAAAAGATATTATATAACATACATACAAAGTGAATAATGATGTACTCAAGATGAATTTTCTTGAACTCAGAAGCACATGAATGGAGTAAAGCACTACACAGCACAATTTACAGATACAGTAACAGTACTCACAAAGTACAGTAGGGATTTCCCTTTGTTCTAGAAAATGTATAAACTATTAACATAAGTGCAATGTACAATGCTCAGTAATATTAGAAACAAATAATAGAAGGAAATAAAATATTCTTTATGAAAAACTATATTTACATCAAAGGCAGTTCTTGAACTGTCTTTGATGTAGATATTCCTTGAATATTTATAATAATAATAATAATAATAATAATAATAATAATAATTTATTTACAAGAAGGTACAATGGGTTGGTGAGATTTCATTAGAGTAATCATACATTTGACTGATATACCTTTGATTCCTTGAAGGATAATTTGCAAGCAGTGTGAAAGTACAGTATTGAGCAGCTCTGAGAATACAACTCAGTGACTCAGTGTGAACTAATGTCCCACATGGCCTTTTAATTCTGTTGGCAGCCACAACTCTGGTATCAGGTGACCAATGGAGGCGTTGGCAAGGCCCAAGACACCACCACCATGTTACTGTGTGCAGCACTGCAAATTTTTCTTGTATTATTTATGCATAAGAAGGTACAATGAATAGGCACAGTCTCATACAGCCACTGGCATGCATCGCATTCCAGACATGGCTTAAAGCTAAGAAATTTGTTGAAATATTTGTTACAAATTTGTAAGTTATTAGTAAGTAACAATCATATACAAGATGCTTAAAACCAGTGACTGAGGAATACACTGAGAATTTGCAGAAATTGGAAGTTAATATAAGTTCAGTACTGTAATGCCATTTATGGCTTCTGAAGGTATAGACAGAAAAACCATGGATGAAAAATCATCTTCTGTTGTCTGTTCTATATTGGGGCTTGTTGAGCTTGGAGCTCTTTGTGCATATATGTACAACACAGGATCTTTAAGAGAAGTGGTCTGAATTAATATTTTCCAATCTGTTCAGTATTTTAAAGGTCACATGGAGATCAGCCTTGTCATGTCTGGTTTGTAGCAGTTAATCATGAGGCCCTCATCCTTTCTTGGTATGAAAGTTAACTTAGTTCTGGGATGAATTTCTTCGTTCTACTTTTTCCTTTGAAGCTCACTGTTCTTAAATTTTTCCAAAGCAGTTGTCTTTTTGGAGATGAGCTCTACGTGCTTGGATACAATAGTCAAATAGGGGTACACCAGGGACTTGTACAGCTGAATGACTACTTTCTTTCTCCCTCAAGTCAAAAGTTCATTTTTATTATTCCTAAGGCTTCAAGTCATGTACATATACCTACTGCAAGTCCTTTGTCTATATACTGTAGCTGGTTATCATTTCCAGGGAAGTGACTTAGTTCATTAAGCAAGTTTTTTTTTAAATACTGTACAATGTTGTTTTGCTTTTACAATATTGTTCAATATGAGATTGCCTATCTCCAAAGTAGAGAATGTTCCCTTAACCAAGGGATTTTCCCTTGGTTAAGTTTCAGATTGGAGTTTCAGTCGTAAACATGGTTCATTGGCCAGTTCTTTTAAGATTTTGGATCTAATGCCATTCATACCAGAAGCTTTTGATTCCTGTTATTTGTCAATGCTCTTCCTGATTTTCTTACATGTAATGGAGATACAGTATTCCTTATTTATTCTTTTCCCATGTTTCATACATACTGTACATGTGAGTGTTGGGATGTTGTCTTAATTTTTCTAGTGTGAACACTGATGTAAAGTATTCATTCAGTGTCATCTGCCTGTTTAGCATTAGTTATAACTTGGTTTATTTTATCTTTCAAGAGTCCTACTGTGACTTTTGTCTTGATTTTACTCCATATATTAGCACAAAGAGACACTTTTTCATTCGGCTGATCTGATCTAAGTAACTGAATTCAGCCCCCTTTTATGTCTCCTATTAACTCCTTCCTGGAAGGATTTTACCTAAATTTGCCTGAAGACCACCATTTCTCTAGTGGCCTAGATGAAGACAGAGAGCTGGTGGCTTGTCAAAGGTCCTCCCATTTTTCCTGATGATTTTTTCCAACTGGATTTTGAATTGCAGTATTGTCTTGGCATTTACGGCTTCAGCGCATAGGAGATTTTATGGGTAAACAACCTTATTGGTGAGAAAGCGTTTGTTTTCCATCCTACATTATGACTTGTTAAGCTTGAAGCCATTGCTCCCTGTACCTTTTAAAGATGCAGTCTAGGTCAACATCCTCCAAACTGTTCAATATTTTAAGTTTCAATGAGATAAGCCCTCTCATGTCTGGTTTGCAGCATTGTTAGTCCTATGGCTCTCAGCCTTTCCTGGTATGAGAAACGACTTAGTTCCAGGATGATTTTTGCCACCCGTGTTCAACTTTCTCCAAAGCAACTGTGTCCTGAAGATGAGGTCTCCACCCTTGGATACAGTAGTCTAGATGGAGATGCACCAGATTTGTACAGTTCAATAACTACCTTCTTTTTCTTGAAGTCAAAGGTTCATTTAACTATTTCTAGGAGTTTGGTTGGCTTCTTTTTACTGTAGCTCCCACTTATTGTGCAACTTGCAGTAATGTGGTAAGCATGTTCCACATTTCTCCAGTCAGATTCATTTCCGTTTAGGACGACCCATTACTTTCTTATTTTTAACCACTGTTTTATCCATTCAAGTACTCTACCAGCTGGCCTCGTAGGCCAGGTGGATAGGGGCCTCGTAGCCTGGTGGATAGAGCGCAGGACTCGTAATTCTGTGGCGCGGGTTCGATTCTCGCACGAGGCAGAAACAAATGGGCAAAGTTTCTTTCACCCTGAATGCCCCTGTTACCTAGCAGTAAATAGGTACCTGGGTGTTAGTCAGCTGTCACGGGCTGCTTCCTGGGGGTGGAGGCCTGGTCGAGGACCTGGCCGCGGGGACACTAAAGCCCCGAAATCATCTCAAGATAACCTCAAGATCTCAAGATAACCATTTATTCAATATGCTCGTAATTTCCTTGACAGTCTTTTATGTAGTACCTTATCAAAGCTTTAAGAAAGTCCATGTATACTATGTTTTCTGGATGTTCTTCTGCAGTTCCTCTCTCGTTCTTTGATTGATTGATTGATTTATTGATTTATTTATTTATAAACAAGAAGGTACATTGGGAGTTAAGAGAGAACATAGAAATGACATTGATTTTACAATCTTGTAAAGCCACTAGCACGCATAGTGTTTTGGGCAAGTCCTTAAACTAACAGATAATTTTAAGTAGATAATTTACAGAAAAATTGACCAAAATGTGTACACGTACTTTACAGCTTTACTTTACAGGTACAGGTACAGATAATTTTAAGTAGATAAATTACAGTAAAATAGACAAAAAATGTTAACAGGTACATTGAAAGAATTTTTGACACAAAAACAAAGATTAAAATAATACACAATAATAACAATACACTAGAATGAACAAGGATTACTTGGTACATTAGGATAAAATTTCAGGGTTATACATTGGTTCACTGAAGCAACAATTTGAGGGTCATTTCAAGGAATAATGAAGTAGAATATGCACTCAATATAACAACCATGATATCAGATGATATCTAAGATTATACAGTAATAGTAAAGTAATATGGCTTAGGTACAAAAAATATTGGGGGGATTGGGTAGTACTAGATGCAGTGCGAGTTAAAGCACTAGGTGGGAAACTAAGATGAAATTAGGCACTTTTTGGTTTTATTTTTGAATATGGCAAAAGTTTGACAGCTTTTCAACTCCTATCTTGATAGGGCTTATCTTATCTACCCCTCCATTCTTGTGATAAGTCTTCACAAGGTAGTCATATGGATACGGTAAAGGTTCTTCCTTTTCCTTGATTTGTCCCACTTCTTAATTAAAATACAGTAGTGCCTAAGAGAAAATGGTGAAGATACAGGTCACATAGAACAAATGTCCCACTTTTTCTCATTTATACAACATATTATTATGCAGTACTATAATAGAGTATTTAACTTTCTTGTTTAACAAGTTGAATTATCAATATTATTCAAATGACTTCATACTTGTATTCACCATTACACTGCACATACATTTTATTGAGCGGACCTTATGATTAATTTATGTAATTTGACCTACATGCATGTTATCTGCTTTCCCCTCAGAATCATTCTTAATTCATGTTATATTTTTATTTAAATATACATATAATTTCTGCTTGTTACAGGGTTAAGTGGTTGAGCGAGGAAGGTTCTCCTGGATGCAAGATTGAACGCTGCCAACTAACCAACCAACAGGCCATCATCCGTCCTGACTATCCTAAGTTCAGCCTCAAATTCTAAATTTGGTTTTATTTTTACATTTCATAACCACCCAATCGTCAGCATATTTTTAGTATCAGCAAACACTTATTTAAAGGAGCATGTAGTTCATGTGATACAGTATTAAATAACACGACAGCACCCAAGAGCAGGAATGTTTCTATTCACCAGGTCACCGGGTACCGTACTGGAGCTTCACCCTCCACTCTTGTGCTTCTACATTACATGGCATCTGTCAATCATCAATAAAGGAGGAAATGTAAACTTCTGTCATAGTCAAACAAGATAAAGAGCAATGCATATTATGCAGTTAGTTCAATTTATAATAGTGTATAGTATACATTTATCATAATTTATATTTTACAACCGAGTTTTTATTAATCTGGTTAAAATCACATTTTTTTATTCAATTTCGTATTATGCCATCATTGCCAATCACCAGATAGGAATGAAATGTATGGAATCGTATAAGTACCAGCCCATTTTATATTCCCAAGTAAAAAGCTGGGAAAAGAAGTACCAAACTTTGCAAGGAAAGAATAGTGTATGCAAGAATACTACAAATCTGGCTTCAATTTCAGTTTAGAAGTACAGTATGTATACCACAAGAGTTCATTACTGTAGTTAATTTAATATGGGGCCCTATACACATTCTGTAGATGATGACAGAAAGATCAGTCATATATTGGATTCATGACATACAAAACACTCATTACTTTTAATTAAAATACTTGGATTAATATTTTATAGTACAGTATACATAACCAGTGTAATAAATTTAAATATCTTAGGTCAGCTTAACATAAATAATTAATTATACATACTGTACAGTATGTTAATTTTTAAATATTAGTAGTGTACTGTACAAACATGGCAGATTCTGCATGTTGCTCCTTTCAATGCCATATGTTTACCATTATAATTCTTATTTCAGAACATTTTGCACGTCCATTCATTATGGAAGGAAAACAAAAAAATATTCACCAATTTCCATCTAATATTATCATAGAAGTACTGTATGAGTGTCAAAGTGAATTAACTGCTTACAAGCAACATATGACATAAGCACCATAATTATTCTCTCTTGTTCCTATTCCCAGTAACAACTATCATGCCAAGTTGATTTTTGCTTATCTATGAATTTAATTGGGTTACAATTAAAAAAAATATATTTCCAACTTTACCAATGTTCCTTCATTTATGTTTCACGTCTGTCCACCACATCAAGTTCTGTATTGTAGTATGTAATTTATTATTTTTTCTTGTCTTTCCTAACCCTGTGTTCATGTTATGTACGTAGTCACTCCAAATCTATCATTATTTGGGTTTGAATTTCATAGCTTCATAAAAGAATGAGCAAATATAGTGCACAATAAATTAAAATCTTCACCTGAAGCTTATACACAAGGATGGACAGTATGAAATAGCTGTTGTCACTAACATGCTTTCAAAATCTTTATTAGCAACAGAACGTTTATTACAGATACCTTTGCAACTTTTCAGTTCATCCTTATGTTCCGCTAATCATGTCTAGGAGTCCATCTTAGTAGTGTTGAGCAGCAGCTGTGTATCGGGTAATGCTTACAAGTTCTCTATTTTCATTTTATCTTTAAATCATTTTACTTAAAACAAATTTAACTTGCTTTGATGCATAAATTTATTTCTGGAAAAGTAGTTCTTAAAACTGATAATGAATGAAGCACTCTGAATGGCATAAATTGTAAGTGAAAAGATTATCCATCTACACAGGCTTTTGCTAATAACTCTTCTGAAACCATTTATACATAATATTATGAACTGCCATAATTCATGTTAATAATAAATGTGTAAATTTAAGAAATATGAATTAATGCTCAAAATGAACAAAACTGCCAACAGTTTCAATAAATTGGTAATACTGTATTTGTATCATGATACAGTAGCCGTGTGGTCGTGCTTCATCACTATGCCACCCAACTGTTTAGTTACTAGCACAGTCATAAGTGATATAAACCACATCATATGATGACGTGGTTTTAACGCCATCTCATAATACGATAATTAACTACATACAAATAGAAGCAAATGAATAAGAGCTTTCAATGTGTGTTTTCCGAGGTCATGATTGTAGTCATCTGTGATGGTGATTCTAAGACTGCAAGTTTTGTGTTTGTTAAATATTTATTTTTGGTTTATAAAATAAAGATTATACCTCAGTTGTGTATATTTTTCCTTGATATATTTAGTAAAATTTGGTAGGCTGAGGTTGGATGTGAATGAATTTAATGTAATCATTTATCAAGGCAGAAACTTGCTGGATACCCAGATCGCATCAGAGGAAAAAGGTTATCTTTCCATGAATAGTTACCCTATAGTATTAACAACTCAATATTTTTTTATAACACAGCAACTCAATGGTAGTAATTCCTTGCAACAAACAATACAAGTATTATACATTATTGAAAAATTAATTATAACCATCTCATCATAATGATGCTTAAAATTACAATTACTCATCCTTCTCTCTCTGGTCTGAAGTGTAGATGGGAGGATTGATGTGAGCTTGATAGGTATGCATTAATAAATGTAGGTTTTACAGTTTGTGGGTGAAAAGACTGTTTCCTAGTTATCTTCTGAGAGCAAAGTTTAGCTCTAGAGCACCAGCACCCAGTTATTGCACCACCTTTAGAAGGTACTAGACAGTTTAGTTTTACTTAGTGCCAAACCCTATTGGAGCTGCTTCATGATAGCAGATACAATAAAACTGATACAGAACATTCAAGAGTTCCCAGATATTACACATGATGCTTATACAAAAGCAAATAGGCATGAGCAATGTCAAAGAAGGCAGATACACAAAGGATTTTAATGAGGAACTAGGGAACAGTGAGAAGCCAAAATTTCTATCACCTTGAAAATCAAGACATTATACAAGGTGAATGATTTAATACAACGATCACTCAGTTCTGATAATAATATGCAGGTCTATGTTCCATTAGGGGGCCCATCAGCTAATATATCAGCTATGGCCAATACATAACCTAATATGAGACATGTCCCACTTCATATTTCAGTGACTGGAAGAACATAAAAATAACTGAAACTGCAAAAGCCTAATGGTTCATACGAGACAACAACTATAGTACACATTCAAGAGAACAACTTGTTCTTCATAGTGGAGAACCATCTCTCCACCGGTTATAGACAATTAATGACATAAAAATCCAAGAAAGGAATTCGCTTCTGCGAAACAGGACAGGCATGAATGGTTCTTTAGTGGGGCATGTGCCCGATCATTGGAGGCATCTGTTCAATCATTGGAGGCAACCACCAATATGACTAAGAACCCAGAAAAACTCAGTCTTATTGATATCTACTAAAGTTGAGAGACCATCAAAGTTGGATTTTTATATACACAATATGAGAAGTGTGAAAGACTCCAGAGTCTTCAGAGCACTACATGAGTCAACTTTACTAAAAAACAATTGTAGGCACAAATGAAATGTTCAAGAGCATATAAAATTGAATAAAAAATATAATAAAAATACTTGCTTTCTGGGAAAAGCCATCACAAAGGTTTTATCTTAAAAAAATAATGTAGAAGCCAACATCACCAGCAGATTTCGACCCTTAAATAGTGTGTATGTGTAAGGATGGAAATGTTCAAGGAAAAACCCTTTCATAATAGTGAGGGAAGAAAGGTTATAAGCCTTCAATGTACAGGTTAGGGCTTAACAAAATTCCACAAGCAGCACTATCACATGGATAAGGCAGGCAGAAGGTGAGCAAACACATTGTAGAAATGTAAACAGAGGGGGTTCCTCTAAGCATGTTTCCCTGCACTAAAATACAGCAAAGGAGAGGTGCCAAACTAGAAATAGGGGGCAACGGTTTAAGTCCAGTACAAGCGTGAATGAGAACTTCAAAGATTTTCACACATGAAGTACCAAAGGCTATACAACCCATTCTCCTGTTTAGATAGTAGCTTTTGTAATTATGTAAACCATAGTACAAAGATTGCTGTTCTACACAATTAGATAGAACTTTGTACTATTCACTTTATAGTTGGAAAAAATTAAGCTAAAAAACAAACTTAAATATTCCTAGGCCCAGTTTAGCACACACATGTACTATATTAGGCCTCAGATATCGTGTATTAGACCTAGGAAGGCTAGGTTAGGTTAGTTTAGTTTGTCTCTCCTTTGCTGTAGAAAATAGATTTCCAGTTTGTCCAACTCAATAGTGCCAATTTCTACTTTCTAATTTCATTGTACGTTGGTATATATACTATGGTCCTTATCGTTACTATAAGTACAGTACTCCCAAAACAGTTAGATGGGCTGGGCTTTACCAACTGCAAGAACCTATTAATTATTGAACAAAAGAGGGAAGGAACTATCAGGGGAAAAGAGCCAAGCCATTATGACTATATAACACTTGGAAGGGGTCAGAATAAGGATTTGGGATGGGACGGGGAAAAAGGAATGGTGCCCAACCACTTGGAAATCGGGGATTGAACGCTGACCTGCATGAAGCGAGGCCATCGCTCTACTGTCCAGCCCAAGTGGTTGGGTCATTAAAGGGGCACCACATAAACTGGTGCCATAAAGGATCTGCAGACACTCTGCTAATAGAGTACGAGCAAATTGTCTGCAGGTCTTAGTGTTGTAAAAACAAAAACAAAAAATAACCCTCACATTTTAGTGCAACAAATTGAACAACTTAAATAAACAATATCTGATGTCATGCAGAGTATAGATCACATATACATAGACTGATGGCAAACTTTAAATTTTAAAAACATTGTTGCCCAAAAGTTTGATGAACTGCCTTTGATTTTTACTGTGAAGAATTTTTATTTAAATTTTAATATGTTTAGGAATAATAAACCGTTATCTGAGGGTACAACTTGTTCAGACCTGGTAATCAATACATACTGATATGTTTTCAATGCTAATCTTGGAATAAATAAAACAGCGATATCATGACAAAGCATTTATAAATGTACATACCTGACGTGCAAGAAATTAATGGATACACAGAGTTTATGAGTACAGTACATTCATAAAAAAATATAGGTAATTATCTTTTGAAAGGATTAAATAATACTTTCAACATATTGAACAAATATCACTTCTAAATAACAATGGGTACGCATTTTTCAGAAGCATGTAATTTGATGCTAAGAAACAAACTTAACTGTATACCTTTGCCATGACTACTGTTCTGCTAATAAAAATGTACTATTATTCATCTCACTTCATTTAACACATTATTCAGAGATCACACTTCAAACACTAGAAAAACTACTAACATAATTGTTTTGCACAAATGATAAAGAATGCAATATACACTGCATCAGTGTGGTACTGTGTGTTTTAGTGAAACAAATCTCCAATGGTTACCTCAAACTTTCCAATGGTTACCTCAAACTTAAGTGCAAAGGCAAAGAAGGAATTTTTGTACAGTGAGGTGGTACAGGTGTGAAATGCACACACAAGCAGGTGGAAGCAAGCTTCAAGAAACAAATACAAATTCAAATGCATTTGAAGTCTATACAAATGTATGAGAGTTCCATACAGATGGAAATTCAAACAGACCAATGCATCACATTGGATGATGAATTATTGAGGCAGAGCATAAGAGCAGGATTCTCAATAGTACCTGTAGATACATTTCAAAGTGTGGTCTAAAGCTTGAAATAAGCTGATTATCCATTATAATGCCAGGGAACAATACACATTTCCATTCCTTGTACTGTACTATTATTTTCTTATACTCTTTAACACTTTAGCAGTCTGACACCTCACCACATGCTTGACCGTAATTCCGGGCCTCTCAAGGCCTTGCTCACCAATGCCTAAAATGTTTATGCTCTTTTTTTGTTTTTAGATTTTAAGTTACTTTTGGGTATTAACTACAAATTGGTGTCAAAATGTTTGCAAATCAAAAGACGATCAAGATAACCATCAAGAGAGATCAACCCCAGATGGCACACGCACACACATCAGTCACATGGGGCAACCCTGAGAAGGTACCTACAGGCAAACATTTGCATTGACTTATAAAGCCCCCCAAACCTCTGTTGTCAGCACAAGGCATCACTGAGAAGCATGCCTTTATTGTGGCAAGCACATTGAGATAAACCCCAAGATGCACCTTGCAATTTCTCAGCTTAGCCAATCCTTGAAGCAACTAGGATATGAGCCTTAGGAGCAGACCACCTTCCTGGGAGGATTCAAGTTAAGAGAATCTACAGAGGAGTACTGAGCTTTCAGGAGATACCTGCACACAGAACCCAAAGGACATGTGTTTGATATACTGAAAGATACAGTATCCCAGCTTGAACCAAGATGACTTTTCCAAAATGGATACATGAATATTGACACAACCAAAGGAAATGAACCCCAAGAGTCAGTGTGTGAGGCTCACTAACAAAATAGAGGAAGGGAGACCAGCATCTTATCGAAGATGCAAGTGGGTTCAAAATTTCAATGGAAGGTGGAAAAAAACTAACATGAAAGAACCCCCTCCAAAGCTAAAGAACCAGGAAACTAGGAAAGTCAAGACTAAAAAGCAGGATAAAACAACTCGGCTAAAGCAGCCCTATATGAAGTTAATAGTACAGGTATTGAGAATGAGCTGTTTATTAAAAATAGAAAATGAAAGATCTTAGAACAGGACCAGAAAGAAAAACCACACCTCATACTGGCTAGTAGTAGTAATCCTAAAGCACAAGGTAAAAAGTATTTCCACTCTCTCACCACAAAGGCAGACAGAAATGTCCTAGAAAATCCACATGAGGAGATTGGTGGAGAGCCTTTAGGTGCTTGTGCAACATCAGGGGTCCGTCTCATGTAAGATGGGCAGGAAGAGATGTATGGTTGGGACACCACAAGAACGTCAGGAACCAGTTCTTAACTGGCCACAAGGAAAGTGACAGAATCACACAACTCGCTAAGCTTTTCAACTTCTGAAGAATTGACAAAAGCATCTGGGGCTAGTGGCAACAGAAAAAAAACTAACTTTAAACTGTTTTAGTGGAAACAGAACATCCACCACAATTGAGGAACAACAGCACATAACAGGGTGGTGGATTCACGTAAAAGTAAACAGATCCTCCTTAGAAACAACAAATTGATTACATACCCGATGGATGGAGACCTCATCCAAAGTAAATGTCATATCTTTCATACAAAACTATGAGCACATTTAACACCCCATGAATGTCAACCTCATTCTCTGCACCTCATTGCTGAGAAATGAGAGTGGAAGGAGTAGAACTCCCAGAACCCCCCTCCAAGTATACATGTAAACAGATGTAAACAAAAATTATGCACATATAAACAAGTAACATTTGTAATGCCTTTATATCTTGTGTTTCAATAAAGTAAAGATCATACTTTCCAAGAGATTCAAACAGTCAACATCATGAAATACTTGAGGGAATTATGGCCCTTACTACAATAATATTTGCAAGCCGTATCCTATCTTGTTAAAAACACTGGACACACAATGGCTTGGACACTGGACACTCCAGACCTCTAGCCCTGGAAATCATCTCAAGATAACCTCAAAATACCACACACACAAAATGCCACACACACACACACACACACCTCTGGAAGAGTTAAGTTTCCTATTCAATGGCAAGGTTAAAACAAGTCAAACATACATTGACACAACATGAAATAATGTTTCATCTAAAAATGATTTCCACTTAAGATTACAACTTTAGAAATCTTTAAAAGTTATTAGCTATTAAAAACTGTTAGACACTAGATATCACAGATAATAAAAATAAAAAAAAAACCAGTTGGCAATGTTTACAAGGCTTATCTCACAATATATTTACATTTGAAACTTGTAAAGAAGCTGTTAATCTTCAAAAAAAATTTAAGTAGACTACGGTAGCTTTTAAATAAAAATTGTTTAAATGAAAACCAGAATTATTTTTTCTACCACTCAAAATAGTGGTAGAATACTCCAATAACTACACTGCAACTACATGTTGAATACTCCATAAAGATTTCAACTACAAGAGTCATTGGTGGCACTAAGAATGTTGAGTACATCACTAAGTACTGTTGAATTTGGCCAATAACTGAATGGGTCACCACATTAACATGTCTCATCTTTGGTAAGAGTAACTGTGGCAAACCCATTAAGGGCTTCCTAATAATGATAGGATATACACTTACCCTTATATTCAAGTGTTAAAAAACACAACTATACTGAACTGTACTTTTAAATATGCATTGGTGAACTGTACAGTTGGTTTGCTACAATATAAGCGAGAAAGGAACACTTGCTCGCATGAAGATACAAAAGAGCAGGAAAAAATTAAACTGATCCTAGCCTAGATGGAAGAATTACGAGATACAGAATTACGAAGATACAAAACTGGTAAAGTAGGAAGGAAATGGGAAAATGAGATGATAATAGTGTCTGACAAAAAACTAATTGTAGCCATAGGCAAAACACCAATCATTCACATCTTTACAGAACACGAGAATGTGTGGAGAAACTGTCAGGAGTGAATGAGTCCTAAAAACAAAATCTATTAGTTTAGGAAATATCAATTCTTTGACTTCCATACAAGTATTTTCGTCTTGATCAAGGTTAAACAGCCTTTCATAAAACATCATTTAGTCTTGAGCAAAACTAAATATCTGCAAATAAAAACTTAAAAGAATAAACACAACATAATTCACAACTCGTGTTTATGGGCATCTGAACCCTTTTACCCGACATTCATTTCCCTTAAAATTTGTTTAAAAGATGAACCTCATTACACCTGTGTATCACTAGTACTGTGCTATGACAAAACCACAACATTTAAATATTGCTTTGACAATGGTCTATTTTGTATATAAATAAAATGGTTTCTATCATTAAAAAAAAATTTAATTTAATATTAAAATCTAAAAAAATAAATATGATAACACACCTTTTCATTTAACACTTTGTTTTCGCACAACTTACTTTACTAAAATTTGGTCGATTTAGGACTTTGCAAATATAATTGCCAGCATCAATAAGTTTATCTAGATCAACACCAGTTTCTATGTGCAGACCATTGAGCATGTACACAACATCCTCAGTTGCTACATTACCCGATGCTCCTTGAGCATACGGACACCCTCCGAGCCCGGCAACAGAAGCATCCACTACACTGATCCCCATCTGAAAGAGCAAATCTGTTTAAAGCATTTGTGATGAATAATGTCATCAAGTGTAATAAATACAAAATAAACTTTTGGTTACACACACAACAAAGCATATCATTTATGCTAATTCTCTTATTATGCTGTGATAAACAGCACAAAGTTAGTGACCAGTTACAGAGCCTGGTGATACTTGTGCTGATACATTAACCGACTAATATGGACAATTCCTCCCCCCCTCCCTCCCTCCCTACAAAAAAAAAATAATTGAGGTGAACTGGGTACAGAGTGGTGTACTGGATACAGTGTGGTGTACTGGGTACAGAGTGGTGTACTGGGTACAGAGTGGTGTACTGAGTACAGAGTGGTGTACTGGGTACAGAGTGGTGTACCGAGTACAGGGAATACAAGTAAGAAAACAATTGAATATAATGAAATGCCTCAAGTCAAGCCTGGCCCCGGGCCGGGCTTGGGGAGTAAAGGAACTCCCAGAACCATATCAAGCAGGTATCCAGCAGCCTCTTTCTGGTGGCTCCTTGTTGCTAGCTACCAAGATAGCTCCACCCAATTCAATCCACACCAGGCCCTTGCCAGCTATTGTAAGTCTACCAGGAACCAGAGGCCAAGAGTTTACTCTAAGAGTTATTAATCAAGTTTTTTTTTTATTAATACATGAGGTACATCTGCATTAGTGCAGCTACCCTAGACTATATCAAGTGGAGTACAGTGTGTCAAAAAAACTAACTAGGTGATGCTAAAAAATCCCCATCACACAGGATGGTTAGTCATACAGAGGCATGTGATAGGCAGTCTGCACTGGCAGACTCTGGAAGCATTTTGAGGACAACATCAACACAAGATTGAATAAGGTAGCAGTGGTAATAAAAGTCCCCATCTTGCAGGATGGTTAGTCATACAGGGCCATATGTTTAGTAACCTGCAATGGCAAATTTTGGGTACACTGAGGATATCTTCAAGAATACGAGAATGAATAAAGCAATTACAAAGCTCCAGGTACCTCATGCCAACTGGTCTGAAAGGACTAATACCTGGGCATTCGGTGATGTAGTGTGGGAGATCATGCCGCAGTTCCTGCTCACAGAGTTTGCACTAATTTACCTCGATTAAACAGCTTAATCAAGGTAAATATCATGACTTCTGCTTTAACCAAGTTCACCACCTGTACTAAATATGAGAGTTTCCCAATATTTCAAGATTTAATTTTCAGTTTTCAACTATCTAACTCTCACTCTCCCTTCCTACATCGGGAAAAAACTGTATTCTCACATCATCTATTCCTCTCGGTATCTGTGACCATATCACCTCTGGTCCTCCTTTCCTGTAGTGTGGTTAGGGTTGTCGTAATCTATCATCCTAACACTCATCTCTGGTACCAGTCTTTTAGCAAATCTCTGAACCTTTTCGATTTTCTTTTTGAACTTCATAAGATGGAGATTCCATGCTAGTACAGCATAGCTATGTATAATGTTCTGAAAGACTTCTTTTAAGGTATAATTTATTGTTCGGGGACAGGCAGCCAGAGTGTATCTATACTCATTAGGCTTATATCAAGGTCACCCACCCCCTGCAAGGGGGAGGATTATTGACTCCACCCAGGATGCAACCTCACAACAAGGTAACTAACTCCTGAGTACCTACTTACTGCTAGATGAACATGAGCATTAGGTGATAGGAAATGCAACCAATCATTTCTGTCCCACCCAGGATTCCAACCCGGAATTCTCGATTGTGAATTGAGAACAAATCCAACTGTACTAATAGGATCCAATCCCATCCTTATATTTTCCTATTTTGCATGTTGTTAAATTTACCATGTATGTGTCTGGCATTAATGCTAGCATTAAGTTTGCCTCTAGACCTTCCACTTTTTACGATTCTATTGCAGGCTATTCCGCTCGGTACATTGTATGTAGTGATGTGTGGTGGTGATATGGAACAAAACCTCTCAAATATGTGAGTGATTAATACAGTATATAAAATAAATAATACTGTACATAAGAATCCTCAGGAACATATCTTTGCAATCAATACTTCAGTATTACCACAACCAACTTATTCTATCTATATCAAAGATTATTATTTATCAAAATAATTCATCTAGCAGACATTAAGGACATTAGTTACCTGAAGAGAGATGAGAATATTAGGAAGAGCTTGACCATAGGTATCATGACAGTGAACAGCGAGGACGTGCGGTGGCAAGAGTGTCATGACCTCCTCCAGCATCCTGCGCATGCTCCCGGGTGTCCCTACACCGATGGTGTCACCCAGAGAGATCTCATAGCACCCCATCTCATACATTGCATGTGCAACCTGTTCAAAATTAGTTGAATTAATACTGACAATACAAAAGATATTTATACTTAAACAAAATTGTTGTTTTACAACTACAGATACAGTACAGCATTTGTTTTAATAACTTCATTATTTATTTTACAGCAAATATTTTTTTTTTACAACAATTTTAATCCAAAACATTTCACCATTAATGAACGAGATGTATTAACAACACTTAATTATTAGCATAAATACAGTAGTTAACAAGTTACCAGATATTGAAAAACAAAACAAAATTAATGTAATACAGTAATTCATACAACTTTATTATGCACAGGATACTAAAAAGTAACCAATTATGCACTGTATAATATACTGTACACATCATTCTGCCTGGTCAATTTTACAAAATGCTTAACAAATCTGGCATTGAGTACATTTAAAAGGCACTAACTGCACAGCCACACAGTATTTACAAACTGCCAGAAGAAACTCATTAATGTTCAAGGATGTAAGACACCCCCCCTCTCCCGTATCCCTAGAAAAGGTTAAAAGAATTAACACCCAATTTGTCTGCAAGCATCCTCACACAAAGCAAACATTACTTTGTATAGCAGTTTGAATTTTATGAACATTTTATACCTCTTTTTTTTCTCCCACCTACTTGCTCAGAAAAGTGCTCTAAAGATATTAAGAAACAAAATGTTTGAAAACTAAATGTATTCATAAGGAATACCCCAAACCTGGGAAACTAATACCAGTTTAAAATAAAGAAACACCCATGATTACCATGGCCACAGTCTTGGGGTCAATAGGGCCTTCATAAGGACATCCACACACACAGGACACGTAACCTCTGACTCGGATTCCCAGTCTATTCGCTTCCGTTACCACATCTTGGAAGCGCTTCAGAGATTCTGCAATACTACAGTTAATGTTCCTTAAACTAAATGACTCTGACGCTGCCCCAAAAATAGCTACTTCCTCACAGCCTGCTGCAACCTGAAATTATAAGTCAAAAGTTTTAATAACTTGTATCAAACTTTGTCTTGTATCTCAACATGTCCTGTGCTATATTTTAACCAGAAAATGTATTAAACATAGAACTGGTAAATAAGGGATGCACCCTATTTCAAAATCCAGGCAATTAAACTTATATATTGAAGCTGAAATCCAAATAATCCAGTTACAGTATTTGAATAAATATGCAAACAAATATCCAAGGTGAAATGTTCTAGTTACTTTATCAACTTAACAGAGTAACTTACAGCAGCTTCAAAGCCTTTTAAATTTGGTGTAAGAACCGGATACGAAACACCTTGAACTCTCTTGATCCCACGCATCACCTCAACATGATCGGCTAACTGGGGCACCCATTTTGGCGATACGAAACTGTAAAGATTAAATGACAAAGATAATCTTGAAAAATAAATGAAGAACCAGCTTCATATGTTAAAAGATATATTAGTACACTAGCAAAACACTCATACCGATGAAGCATTCAAATGAAGCCCCTTTATCTTAAATTTCTCCAAATAAAAACTGCCGAACACTCGCATTGTATTTGTAATGTTCTAGTTTATTTACCCTTTGAGCGATTGGTATAGTGATGGCCTTGCTTCTTGCAGGTCAGCATTCAGTTCAATACATCACCCTGATAATTATCTTATCTCAATATATAAAATGCAAGTGACAATTTCCCCATTTTGTAATAAACTTCTGCTAATAATGCCTAATCCTCCATAGGTTTAGTTAAGCAATTTTGAAAAAACATTAGTTACCCACCCCTCATAGCAATCGCAAGAAGCATTGGTGCATGCATTAATGGTTACGGCACTCACAAAAGCAATCCTAATGCGAGTGCTCATTCTTTAGGTCTCGCTGAGAGCAAGATACTGCTACATCTCATATCTTTGTGAGGTGAAAAACAAAGTGATACACATTGGTGACTCCTTGATTTTTAGCATCTTATGAGAAGTTACTTGTTAGAATGAGTAGGTATTGGCTGCAGTAACATGACTCCTTATTTTCACAGGTAAAAAAGCTATAGGATCCGAGATGTTTTGTTAAAAAAAACAATAGTGTTCTAGCCCTAAATAAGCCCAAGCATCCTTCAGAGGGACATGTATTCTCCTGTGGCCTTCCTTCCTGATCAAATTAACAATCTTCTCGACCTCAGCCTGCAAAAAGTTTCTGCTTTCCTCTATAGCAAGCCATAAAAGCCACCACAACACAACTGCGCACCATCTATCACATTGAATTTTCTGGTATGGACTTCATCCTTACAACTGCGAGGCTCATATTCCATTAATTTCATCTATCCTTCACCTGGAGAAAGTGTATTGATGGGACTAAGTGTTGAGACAACACTGGTCCCTCAGCTGTGTGATAAAAGCTGTTTGGGAGAACAAGCACAGGAGCCACAGGAATATGAGCCCACCATCTCAGATTTCTATGAGCAGGGCTAGATTACCCAATAGGTAAGTCACATTTATTTATCTATTTATTTATTTATTTATTTATTTATTAAGATTGTTTAAAATCACATACTGAAGGGTGTAAAATATTTCCAGTGCTTAAGGCCTCTGAAGGTCTTAATATGACATTGCTCATAATTTTCTGCTTTCACCATCTACAATTCTACAACCTACGCTCTTTGTTTTGAATTTTAATCTATCATATTGTTCCTATTGTGTGATACTGAAATTACAAACGTGTGAAGTAATGAAAGTGCAGTTCGCAGAAAGCCCTTGTGATATGATTCTTAATTCTTCAGTAACCTACCACTTGCCTATTGTGTGATACTGAAATTACAAACGTGTGAAGTAATGAAAGTGTAGGTCGCAGAAAGCCCTTGTGATATGATTCTTAATTCTTCAATACATGTTTGCATTCTTTACTATGGAAATGTGGACCTAAGTGACATTGCTGGGCAAAGTCTGGTTGACACGGAGGAATGGAGGCAGATGGAGAAAGTGTCTGAGAGTGTATCAAAGTCTTGTCACTTATATTTTACAAAATAAACTTCAAAAACATTTTTGCAATGATAATGCTATACTGTATCACTAAAATTTTAATTTTCATTAGTCTACTTTTAGTTTGCACATTACAATACAAAAATAAAAAATTTATCTTGTGCAACTGAAATTGTCTATTTCAGATTAGGGTAATTTGAAATAATCTTACGTTACTGCTCATCCCTTCATGAAAAACATTCATTCACAACCAAGTATACATTCTGTGAACTGTAACTATAACTTTCTGATGGTAACCCATTTATTTCAGTATAGAGAATTATGCAAAATAGTATGAGAATAAAGTACTATGCACAATAAATCAATATATAGTACAGTACTATTGTATACAATACTAGTATCTGCATACTCTTAGATACAGATACTACAGATAGTATACATTTGTAGTATCTCTTGTATACTGTACTAGTATAATAGTATCTTTTGTATACCAGTATAATAGTATTTGTATATAGTACAGTATTATGCAAAATAGTATGAGAATAAAGTAGTATGCACAATAGATCAATATACAGTATAGTACTATGCACATCAATACCAATATACAGTACGGTACCTGGTTACTTCCACACATTGATGGCCAGCCTGGGAAAGTCTATTTATAAATTCAATCTTGACATCTGTCGGCACAAGCACCTTTTCATTTTGTAATCCATCTCTAGGACCAACTTCAACAATTCTAACTTGTTTAGGATACTGTGGCCAAACCTGTGCACTACGAACCTGAAGAAAAGAAAAACAGAAAATTATATTAATGCTGTCTCTATAGATAATGAAAACTGTTTAACAGATGGTGTGACATAGTACCACAACTTCACTTTGCAGCCTCCGGATTACGAAGACAAATCTGTACAGGTACTTCAAAAAGTGAACAAATTAATTTTATCCAAGTTTTCATGCAGAATTATTATTATTTATACTGTATGCACACTAAATCATTTATATATTATTTGCATATCAGAATATGTTGAATTATATATTATATAATTTGCCATAACAAAAAATCTGTAAAATTTGGTGATAAATAGCCCTCCCTGGTCAGAAACCGGGCTGTGGGGATCTTAATCCTCAGAAGAAACAAGAGGTAATGATAGAACCCCCCCCCCAATAGAAATTTAGATTTAACAAATTCTGGGTCTGGAACAAAGCGATCCAAAATTTTGAGGAGGTACAGTACTATTATTGAACTGTTTATAAGTTTCTTTTTACCTGGATCCACACAGCGCTTCTCACAGTTGAATAAAAAATCTACACATTTAAGAAGAGACCACAATACATCCTGTCCTTGACAATCATATAATCATAGCTGTGAGTAATATTGAAAAAGAGGAGGCAAGGGGCGACACTCTTCAGAGGCGTGACGCAGGTATCACGTTAATCCCAGATATTTCTCTAAACTGGTAACAAGAAGTTTAGGAAGAAAATTATGCATATAGATAAGGCAACCTTAAATACAAAATGGTTAGCCTTCTTTCATTATTAGTCAACATTAGTGATTTACACGAGTTTATGTAGAGCCTTTCGCAAGGCCACAATATCATTTGAAGCCCAGTTTACAACAATTCTGAGCTAGGAACAACTGTTAAAAACAGTGTGCTAAATTTTATATGTAATAAAATGCAACTTTCTGTAAAGAACCCTCATTAGCAACCCTTGGGTAAGTATGGTTATCATTGTCAGGGTTTGGAAGCATGCTAGGCTTATCAAGGTCCCCCTAGGTCAACAATTGACCTTTTATAGGATGCAATCACAACAGTTGCCTAACTCCCAAATACCTATTTACTGCTAGGTGAACAGACGTATCAGGTCAATTGAAGTGTCCACATTTGTCATCCTTCTTCAGGACTCAAACTTGGGACTTCTTGGTTGTGACCTGACTACAGTAACTGACAACCGAGTACAACATTCTGCCCGAAACGCTGCGCGTACTAGTGGCTTTACAAGATTGTAAATACCATGCTATGTATCCTCACAAACCCAATGTACCTTCTTGTATATAAATAAATAAATAAAGGCTGTAAACCTGGTATTGGGGCTGGCTCATTATTCATGACAACACCTTATGTTACAGCCAACATATCCATAATCCCTAGGTTAGGTAACAGTTCATTATTCACACCATCAATCAATTACTGTCCTTCCAATGAACTAAAATTTCCCGTGCAAGTCTTAAGTGATCCATTTTCAAAACAACAGCCTAAGCAAGTTGTGAATTATTATAATAATTTGTTTTGTCGGAGTCAAGAAGCCTACCTATACTACATACTGTACTATATATATAAAACAGTCCTCGTGGTACAGTGGTACAACACTCGCCCCGGCACTTCACAAGCACTTTGGCCTGGGTTCGTATCCTGGCCAGGGAGGATTGACTGGGCACCAATCCTTAACTGTAGCCTGTGTTCACCCAGCAGTGAATGGCTACCTGGTTGTTAAACGATTTGGCGGGTCGTATTCTGGGAAACATAGGATTAAGGACCTGCCCGAAATGCTACACATACTGGTGGCTGTATAAGAATGTAACAACTCTTGTATATATAAATAAATAAAATAAAATAAAATAAATAAAAAGTAAATATATATAATGTACTCGAGGCTAGAATCAAGGTCCCCAGGGACAAATTAATCACCCCAGGATGTGACCCCAAGACGTGACCCCAGGATGTGACCCCAGGATGTGACCCCAGGATGTGACCCCAGAATGTAACCCCAAGGATGTGACCCAAGGATGTAACCCCAGGATGTGACCCCAGGATGTGACCCCAGGATGTGACCCCAGAATGTAACCCCAAGGATGTAACCCAATGATGTGACCCCAAGATGTGACCCCAGAATGTAACCCCAAGATATGACCCATGGATGTAATCCCAAGATATGACCCCCAGGATGTGACCCCAAGATGTAACCCCCACAACAGTTGTCTAACTCCTGGGGGCTTATTTACAGCTAGGTGAACAGAGGCATTAGTTAAAGGGAAATGTGCCCCAGCATTTTTATTCCTGCCGGATATAGAACCCAAGAACCTCAATTGTTAGTCGAGAACGACGCCAACTGTACTACAAGACCCTAATTGAGGAAACTGAAAGCTAATTGAGGAAACTGAAAGCTAATTGAGGAAACTGAAAGCAATGAACAAACGCTGGAGATGATGTGTGGTAATATTAGTTCATTAAGATGTAAATGTATACGTCTGGTCGGCCTCAAGGCTTAATAAAGGCTTTATAAAGACTTGGTAGGCAAGCCTGGCCTCAGGTGTCACAGCTGATTACCTGCCCGACGATCAGCTGTACGGAGACGCTTTCATTCATAACGCTGGTAAATCAGCTGTTGTCTTGTAAACAAAGTAGAGTAGTGAGAGCACCCAGCTGAGTACACTACACGTGCTCCTACTCACCACAGAGGCGCCGTAGTTCCTGCAGAAGGTCTTGAGAGCGGATATAACGTTAGCAGTACAGACGAGCGTGGCCATGGCGGCGGGTCGTCTGCTGGGACGTCTGCTCTCCGGGAGTCCTGGCTCCCCTCTCTACCCCAACCACCACCCCTCTCTACCACACCACCACCACCCCTCTCTACCTCACAACCACCACCCCTCTCTACCTCACCACCACCACCCCTCTCTACCTTACCACCACCCTACTCTTCCCCAACCACCACCCCTCTCTACCCTCTACCACACCACCACCAACCCTCTCAACCTCTCTACACCAACTTTCTTCTTTAAATCCCTTCCTCATTTCATGTTTCCCATATGTATTATACATTTGTGTAAATAAATTATTATTATTATTATTATTATTATTATTATTATTATTATAAATATAATAAATCAATGCTGACTGAGCTGACACATAGAAACTCATATCCAATGTACCTTTTTGGAAATAAATAAATAAATAAATATAATAAATAAATGGGAAAGGAGAGCACTGAGGAGGAAGAGGTTCCTGTTGGTGCTGCTCCAGCAACTCCTCCTCCAGCCCTCAAGGGCGACCACTCACATTCCTCCATGGTAAAAACTGGTCTTCACATTTTTTTATTATTTTTTTATACCGGAGTTTCTGAATCCTTGTCGTGGACCTGACACCCATCTGGCGGGCGGCGGACGTGTGCTCCAAACTCACTGTACTCACTCACTTGTGCTCCAAACTCACTGTACTCACTCACTTGTGCTCCAAACTCACTGTACTCACTCACTCGTGCTCCAAACTCACTGTACTCACTCACTTGTGCTCCAAACTCACTGTACTCACTCACTTGTGCTCCAAACTCACTGTACTCACTCACTTGTGCTCCAAACTCACTGTACTCACTCACTCGTGCTCCAAACTCACTGTACTCACTCACTTGTGCTCCAAACTCACTGTACTCACTCACTTGTGCTCCAAACTCACTGTACTCACTCGTGCTTCAAATCTTGTACTGCCAACTTACCCAATATTAAATAGCCAATATTGGCCGAAACGCTATGCGTACTAGTGGCTTTAGGTATTGTATGTACTAGCTCTATCTATAAATCTAACTTTATGTTTGTAAATCTTCTATGTACGTATTTTTACCTGAATAAAAATTTGAATTTTGATTTTTGAATTTGAATTAGTACTTAAGACATATATCATTACCAGCGTAATCACCGCTGTTAACTTACATTGTAGTTATTTGTTGATATAAAACCTTCCTACAATGTACCTTTACATCTTACCTGTGATGATTTAAAAAAAAAGGCAGAAAGAGCTGGGCAAAAAACCACAGTCCAATCAGCTTAACATCACACATCTGCAAGCTCATGGAGAGAATGCTAAGGGAGGGAATCATGCAACATCTCGCAGAGAACAATCTTCCAAAATCAACGCAACATGGGTTTGTTAAAAATAGATCCGTCCTTACTAACCTGCTCACATTTCTGGGAACATTAACTGGCTATTCGGACAAAGGACTTCCGGTATATGTAGCTTACGGGAACTTTGGTAAAGCTTTTGACAAGGCAGCACATGAAAAACTGGAAAGGAAATAACAGGCACATGGAATAAATGGGAGAATACTGGAATAGATAAAACAATGGTTAAAACATAGAAAACAAATGGTCGTACTAAATGGGAATGAATCTGACGGGAAATGTGGTAAGTGAGGTCCCTGTGGGACCCATTTTGAGACCAATCCTTTTTATCATATACATCAATGACATAGACGACAATTTTACAAGCTACATCATCAAATTTGCAGATGACACTAAGATCTATGGTACAGTGGGAAGTGAGGGTGATATTGAGACCTTACAAAGAGATTTGCATGAACTCCACAAATGGTCAGATGACTGGCAAATGATTTTTAATATCGATGAATGCAAGACCTTGCATGTGGGGCATAACAATCCACGTCACAACTACCAAATTAACAGTATTACCTTACAACAGATAGATGAAGAAAAGGACCTTGGAGTCAGAATCCATCATTCACTAAAAATTGCACAACAAGTGGGAGCGGCAGTAAAAAAACTATCCAAACCCTGGGAATAATCAAGGGAACCTTTACCTTTAAGGAAAAGAAAGTAGTCGTTCAATTGAATAAGTCTCTGGTGCGCCCCCGCCTGGAGTATTGCGTCCAGGCATGGAGACCTCATCTTCAGAAAGACATAGCTGCTCTGGAGAAAGTGCAACACCGGGCAACACAAATCGTACCAGAGTTTAATCATCTTACGTGTCAGGAACAGTTGAGGGCCACAGGGCTAACAACACTACAAACCAGGCATGACAGGGCGGATCTCATCGAAACCTTTAAAATACCTAACAATTTGGAGGATGTTGATCCCGTCAGTTTCTTCAAAAGATCATATGTTACACAAACGAGGAGCAACGGGTTCAAGCTCAACAAACCACAATGTAGCTCTCCTACATTGTGGTTGGCTTATTCTCAACGGCTTTGCTCTCCATCTCCAAAACAGGAGATGCTTTTTCACCCATAGGGTTGTAAACCTGTGGAACCACCTACCCGCCAAAGCCGTAAACGCCAAAACTCTGCTGGGTTTTTTAATATAGCTGGAAAAGATCAGGGCAAATGGGGGAACCTTTGACAAGCCGCTGGCTTCGTATCCTCGTCGAAGCCATCAGTATTAGTGTCTCTCAGGTAAATTCAGGTAAATGTTAGACTGAGGACCTGCCCGAAACACTTTGCGTGTTGGTGGTTTTGCATAAATGTAAAAATACCAATCGTATGTAATCTTACCAACCCATTGTTCCTTCTTGGAAATAAATTATTATTATTACCCATGGGATGGGTATGGGGTGAATAATAAAGAATAAATGACTGTTTGGGGAGTCAGTACTTGCCCCCCCTTCCCCCCTCCCCTGCGGGACCCATCATGGCGGCGCGGCGCTCGCTATATTATCTACAATAATTTTGTTGCGACCCCATTTTATTCACTCCCCTCCCACAGCCCCGCTCCTGTGTCAGGTAAGTCCACTACGGGCTCACCACAGCCCCGCTCCTGTGCCGGGTAAGTCCACTACGGGCTCACCACAGCCCCGCTCCTGTGCCAGGTAAGTCCACTACGGGCTCACCACAGCCCCGCTCCTGTGCCAGGTAAGTCCACTACGGGCTCACCACAGCCCCGCTCCTGTGCCAGGTAAGTCCACTACGGGCTCACCACAGCCCGTAGTGGGGCTTGCAATTGTGTGTTCAAAGTTGCTGAATCTAAAACAACCACAACAGCCGAAACGTCATCACTTTGCTGGGTGGGTCGGGTTAGTTGTTCAACCACGCTATTAGGCATTGTCTGCATATTAATTATTCTTTCTGGTTCTCCTGGAAGGTAGAGCGACGGTCTCGCTTCATGCAGGTCGGCGTTCAATCCCCGACCGTCCAAGTGGTTGGGCACCATTCCTTCCCTCCATCCCATCCCAAATCCTTATCCTGACCACTTCGAAGGCCTATAATTCGTAATGGCTTGGCGCTTTCTCCTGATAGTTCCCTTCCCCTCCTCCTCTCCTCCCCCCACCTCTCCTCCCCCCCCCCTCCTCCTACCCCCACCTCTCCTCCCCCAAAGACTCCCACAGAACAATACCAGCGGTCAACACGCACAGGCGCGGCCAGGAATACGATGCCCTCATTCTCCACAAGTAGTCAATAACTGGTTATCCACCTTATAAGTTGAAATATTGGACTATTCTTGTAACATTCACAATTACTGAAAACACTGCAGTAGGCAGCTTACGACTCCATTTCTCCATCATCAACCTTAAATAGCGTGTCATCAGAGTGTAAGGTGCTTGTCTCTGAAGCCAGCCATATATATATATATATATATATATATATATATATATATATATATATATATATATATATATATATATATATATATATATATATATATATATATATATCTATATTATAAGACAGCATGTCTGTCTGTCTGTCTGTCCAAGGATGGAGGCCAGAGTCTTGACACTAGCCTCACCCAAATTTGTAGGGGGAATGGGCTAGGGTACGGGACGGACATAGGCTGGTCATTTTCGGCCTAAGTTAAATGCTTTAAGAAATATTAGCAATTATAGCATCCCCCCCCCCCCGTGCGATTTTCATGGAGTCGTGTGAAATATTTGATGTGATTTCCTTAATGTTTTTAGTGGTTCTAATCTGGAAGGATGGGAGATAAGGGGGAGGGAGGAATGGGGGACCATGGACATAGGGACGAGGGGGTCAAGGGCGAGATATGGTGAAGATATATATATATATATATATATATATATATATATATATATATATATATATATATATATATATATATATATATATATATATATATATATATATATATATATATATATATATATATATATATATATATATATATATATATATATATATATATATATATATATATATATTGGTAGCAGTCTTTCCTGTAGACATATATTATTAAATATGACCGAAAAAGTAAGATTAATAATTCTAACACGAATTTTCTCAATATTTCTTATATTTATTTTCACTGTTGATGGTAATTGAAAAATCAATTCTCCAAAATTCATTTTTATTTCTAGTCTGACGTGACACTTGAACGCGTTTCGTAATAACTTATTACATTTTCAAAGACTAGTTTACACACACACACAACTATAACTTGCAAACACTAAACAGTTAAAACAGCTTTGATTTTATACCTGCATTTGGGTGAGGTGATATGTTACAACAGTTTTGGATGCGGTGAAAACAAACTTTCAACACAAGACAGAACACGAAACAATGGGTATAATATTTTGTAAGTTAAAGGGAAGAATGGAAGTAACTGCAAAGGGCCCATTGGCTCATATTTCTTGATGCTTCTTTATTGGTGCGGAGTCTTGAAGTGGGTAGAATATAGTTGTGCATTAATTGGCTGTTGATTGCTGGTGTCGACTTCTTAATGTGTAGTGCCTCGCAGATATCAAGCTGCCTGCTATCGCTGTATCTATCGATGTCGATAGATAGAGCCTTGGTCTTGTAATCAACGCTGCTAAAACTAAGGTATTTAACAGACAAATTGGCAACCGCAAAAGTGGACCACGAAAACTTAAGATAGATAACATACCAATAGACTATGTCTCTTCTTTCAAATATCTTGGTGTCTCTGTCCCTTGTACCTCAACTGCAGTCAATAAGTTACATCAACAATGTAGAGACAGACTCAAGGCTCTCAGAACTGTAGTGGGGTACAGCCCTAAGTACGGTGTTAATATTAGAATAACAAAAATGATGTACTTAGCATATAAAAGGTCTCTGATAGACAATCATGCACCAGCTTTAGTCCTGCAAAATGGCAAAACTATTGATAGACTGGAAAAAATTGCAAAATGAAGCACTCAGAATTATACTTGGCAGTCCTATGACTACCAAAGTTCTCAATATGCGGAAAGAATTAAATGTACTTAGCATTCGAGATAGAATATTTGAAATCAATCTTATGATGGGATTAGAACTTCTGCGTGATAACAAAAACAATATTGTGTCAGTTGAACTGTTACAACACATACGAAATGGAACCAGCAAGTCTAAATGGATTCAAAGAACTGCCACTCATATTAAAATGATGGGACTGCACGATGTATACACAGATGAAAGAGTACAGCACTTCCTTCCACCCTCAAATCGAATCAAAATCAAATATTTATTCAGGTAAAGTACATGGATACAAGGTGATATAGAAAACGTTGATGGATTTATAGATAGAGCTAGTACATATAATGCTTAAAGCCACTATTACGCAAAGCGTTTCGGGCAGGAAAAACACTAAAAACTAAAACTTAATACTAATTGAGATTAAAGTATAAATTGTGTTGAGAAAAATAAACAATAAAAAAAGGGGGGAACATGGCAGAAAAAAATAGCAAAACTACAATTTGGTCAACAGACAGCATTGTTTAAAATAGAAGACATGAGTTGACATTTTGAGGGTGAGGTAAGTTACATGGAGTTAATTAGGTAGTACTTAGTTTTTATCTTAAACAGGTTGGGAGAGGTACAGTCTTTAACATGATTGGGAAAATCATTCCACATTCTGGGTCCCTTAATTTGTAGAGCATTTCTAGTTTGATTAAGTCGTACTCTTGGAATATCAATAGGTATTTGTTTCTGGTGTAGTACTTATGGGATCTGTTACATCCTTCTAGGAAGCTTTTAAGGTCAAGATTAACATTACAGTTCAGTGTTTTATATATATAAAATACACATGAGAGGATGTGCAGTGACTTAATATCTAACATATTCAGAGATTTGAGTAAGGGTACCGAGTGATGTCTGGGGCCAGAGTTAGATATTCTAGTATAAGGATTACTCGCTACAGTATAAAGACACTTTGGAACTGTTCATTTAGCGTTTTACACATTTCTTATTCATTCTCAGTAGTCCTGTTCCCCCGTTCTCAATCGCTGGATTTTATCCTTTACATGCAGCTTGCTTTTAATGAATTTATAGAAAAGACCTGCATCTGTTTTATATTTGTCCGCTATATACATCTTTCTATACCTTTCTATTACACACCGTTATATACCTTTCTCAAAGTTCCTTTCTGCCTCTCTCCTCACTGCTGTGTATTCCTTTCTTGCTTGTTAGTAGTGCTGGTATGTTTGTGGGTTAGGCCTCATCGTATACTGAACCACATTTTCTTGTCGTCTCCTCTCTGGCTCTCTTATAATTTTAGTTGAACCAATCCTGTATTCTAGTCCTGCATCTCCGTTTTGGTATGAATGTTTGTACGCCTTCATCGTATATTTGGCAACATTTGGCATACGTCTTATATACTTTCTTGCCTAGCAACATGTCTGTCTAATTAAATTGATTATTGTAATTGTATGTGAGTGTGTACTGGTGGGAGGAAGTGATGGAGATGGTGGAGAAGACGGGGAGGGGTGCAGGGAGGGAGGGAGAGAGTGAGGAAGGGTTTGTGAGAGAGGGAGGGATGGAGGGAGGGATGGAGGGAGGGTTAGTGAGGGAGAACAACAACTTAACAGTTTGTCTCAGTCATGTGTGAGGGACACAGCAGGGCTCTCCAGACCTCCTCACAAGACATCCGTCTATGAATTAATACACACACACAGACGCTCCCTTACATACATACATACATACATACATACATACATACATACATACATACATACATACATACATACATACATACATACATACATACATACATACATACATACATACATACATACATACATACGCTCTATCTCCCATTACTGAGTAACAAGTTACAGTAGAGGGGCCACTGGGGCGTCTAGCAGCGAGACCCTCTCACCAAGACAGGAAGGGTTCCATGTGACTGTGATGGGCAGCATGCCGCAGTCAACACGTGACGCCACTCGAACCCCACGTAAAGTGCCAACCTCAAACATCGCAACATGTTAACAAGGCGGCAAAGAAACCTCTTTGAGTGAGTTATAGTGTGTTTTATGTATTACACACACCATCATGCCCATCCAGTGGTCGGTAGTGGACCCCCATACCCATCCAGTGGTCGGTAGTGGAACCCCATACCCATCCAGTGGTCGGTAGTGAACCCCCATACCCATCCAGTGGTCGGTAGTGGACCCCCATACCCATCCAGTGGTCGGTAGTGAACCCCCATACCCATCCAGTGGTCGGTAGTGAACCCCCATACCCATCCAGTGGTCGGTAGTGAACCCCCATACCCATCCAGTGGTCGGTAGTGGACCACCATACCCATCCAGTGGTCGGTAGTGAACCCCCATACCCATCCAGTGGTCGGTAGTGGACCCCCATACCCATCCAGTGGTCGGTAGTGAACCCCCATACCCATCCAGTGGTCGGTAGTGAACCCCCATACCCATCCAGTGGTCGGTAGTGAACCCCCATACCCATCCAGTGGTCGGTAGTGGACCACCATACCCATCCAGTGGTCGGTAGTGAACCCCCATACCCATCCAGTGGTCGGTAGTGGACCACCATACCATCCCGAGGGCGGCAGTGGACCACCATACCATCCCGAGGGCGGCAGTGGACCACCATACCATCCCGAGGGCGGCAGTGGACCACCATACCATCCCGAGGGCGGCAGTGGACCACCATACCATCCCGAGGGCGGCAGTGGACCACCATACCATCCCGAGGGCGGCAGTGGACCACCATACCATCCCGAGGGCGGCAGTGGACCACCATACCATCCCGAGGGCGGCAGTGGACCACCATACCATCCCGAGGGCGGTAGCGATAAAGGTGAAAAAGGTACATATTGGGCTCAGGGACTGAACCCTAATTTAGGTTTAACCAAGAAAGTTACAGTATCGATGAACACCTAAAAGTTTTATAGCAAGATTAGTATTGAAGAATAGGTCTTTGTAAGTGTAAACAGCACAAGCGAGTGTGTGTATGTGTAGCTCTGGTGTGCAGGTCTGTGCTGCAGGTTGCATAGAAACAATACTTGCACACAGAATATCAGCGTCAGGTTAAACAGCTGGCTGACCTGTACACAAACAAACCAGTTCACTAACAAACACAGGACGGGGAACAGTTTTCTGTAATTTAAAGTCTGCTCTTCAAGCACTTAAAAACTTATACAAGATCGCAAGAATCACATACTAGCAATTATAAATAATCTGCTCACTGCACAGAATAAACGGTTTAGAATCTCATTGGTATGGATACCATCTCACATATATATAACTAATCATAATGCCACAGACATTGCAGCCAAATTAGCATGTAACAAGGATGAAGTTGAATTTGACATAGTATCTCCATCTCTGTTGTTAAGACTATATTGTTCCAAACACTCAGGTCTAATAGGAGAGAATTTTCTGGCTCCCAACGACCTGAAATCACTGGTATAAAAAGCTATAATTTGTTTAGATCTGAAACCTATGTTTATGGGCAGCACATAACGTCCACTAGACTGTGCGACACAGTGGTTGCCAGGATCATGTTGGGTTACCGTTACCTGTGGCAGCTGGTGGCTACAGGTGACGGATCTCCCAATTCTGAGCACTCCAGGTGCAAACTCTGTGAGCAGGAACTGGGGCATGATCTTGCTCGCTACATTATTGAATGTCCAGTCATTTGACCCTTCAAACAGGCCGGTATGAGGTACCCGGAGCTTTACGATTTCTTTATTCACTCTCGTGTTCCTGAAAATATCCTTATAATGCACCCTAAGTTTGCCAGTGCAGGCAAAGTTTGGGTGCATTATAAAGTGTAGGGTGCAAGGCCCTGAATGATGTACCTAAATGTGTTAATAAAAAAGGCGCCACAGTCTGGAGAAGGAGTGTTGTGGCGGCCACAACAGTCATCATAGCGACCACAACACAAAGAGGTTCTTGTTAGGAAGCGTCATGTACAGACGATGAGCGGAGTGTGGGGGCTCGCTGCCTCTCGTGACTCTCCATGACTATTGTCAGTGTGTGCGTGTTTGTATTTATTTACTCTTTGTGCCTACAGGATCGAGCTCCTGGGCCCCGCTTTTCTCACCGTCGGTTGTCTAATATACTGATTCCCCCGAACTCATTTTCTCTTGTCTTATCTCTTACATATATTTCTCTCACTCACACGTCCCCAATATGCAGCCCGCAACAGCTGGCTAACTCCCAAGTATATTGATAAGAGAACATGTGAAGAAAAAATAACTCTGCCCATTTGTTTCTGCCTCAGCCTGGAATCGAACCCAGGTCTTTATACTGCGAATCCCGAATACTGTCCGATCGGAGAGTATTCCACTAAACGTACACAGTACCGTTACCACCGAGTAGGAGGATAGACTACTTAGCGGGAACTTTTTGTTTTGGAAAAAGTCCTCCCTATACCGTACCCATTTTGAGTGTGTGGCGGGTAGTTCCTTGAAAAGTCCTCGTTGGTGTCTTAAGGAATTCTTATGGGAAAAATTCGTCGCTGCGACTGAAAAAAGTCCTCACTAATGTCTTAAGGATTTGTTATGTAGAAAAATCCTCACTGCGGTCTTAATGAATTCTTATGGAGAAAAATACTTGCTGCGGTGTTGAGGAATTCTTATGGAGGAAATTCGTCACTAAACTGTACCCGTTTAAGTGGTGAACATATCACCTCTTTTTCTTCTATCTTCTAGTTTGGCCTGTTTAACGCCTCTAGTCTCTCCTCGTAACTCTTGTTTTTTCAATTCCGAAAGCTATTTTGTAGCATGCCGTTGCACCTTTTCCAGTTTATTTAAGTGCTTCTTGAAATATGGGCACCATACAACTGCTACCTACATATTACAATTTGGTTTCACAAAAGTCACGAACAGTTTCTTTTGTATTTCACCATCCATGTAATTAAAAGCAAGTCTAAAATTGGAAAGCGACGCATACTCTCCTCTCACTGTGTTCTTTACGTGTTCCTCTGGCGACAGCTTACTGTCCAACTCCCCCCACCTAGGTCTCATTCTTTATAAGAGTTCTGTAATTCCTTTCCACATAATTTGTATATTGTGTGTGGTCTATTTTCTCCAATTCCACATTCCATAAAATGGCATTTATTCACAGTGAATTCCATTTACCACATGACGCTCCAAGCACTTATTTTATCAAATCAATTTGAAGGGCATTCCTATCGTCACACACACACACACATTACAAGTGTGTGTGTGTGTTACGTTATCGCGCTGCCCTGCTGTATCTTATCAACTCCATAACGTGGCAGTGTTGAGAAAACATCCACTAGCAATATTATTTACATAATGCCCACTGACAACAAACCCAACGTTGCCAGACGTTCAAACTCCTTACACGAGGGCCATCTTAGCGCTCCCCCTCCCAAAGTCTTACCACTATTCTGGCCCCAAGACCCTCGCGTGACCATGAGATGTTGGTGATAATTGGTGATAAAACACCATGAAAATGTTGGTGAGGGCGAATGCCCTCCCATCTTCACTCATCACACGAGTCGACGGTCGTGGACCCCATAAACACCACTCTCCCTCGAAGCTGGTGCCTGGCGCAAACCCAGAGTTGCTAGTGGAGGCCAATAGATCAGTCTTACGTTCTTCCCTATAATAACCCCCATTACCACTCCCCTCCTCCAGATAATAACCCATTACCAACCAACCCCCCTCCAAATAATAACCCCATTACAACCCCGTCCTCCAGATAATAACCAACGTACTACCACAAGTTCGCCATGCACTTCGAGGACCTGCTGGCGGAGATCGGGTCCTTCGGTTTGTACCAACGTCTCCTGTGCTTCGTGCTCATCCCGCTGACGACAGGGGTCGTTGGCCTGACCTTCTACGTGCAGCTCTTCCTGCTGACGGCGCCGCCCCACACCTGCCTGCAGGAGCCGCGCCCCCAGTCTGCAGGCGACCAGGCCGCCCACCCCCTCTACCAGGACCTCTCCCGCCTTCTCAATGATACTGCTTATGTGAGAGAACATGGGGGGAGGGGGGGGATAAGGTGTGTGTGTGTGAGGTGTGTGTGTGTGTGAGGTGTGTGCGTGTGTGAGGTGTGTGTGTGTCTTTTCCACATAATTTGTATATTGTGTGTGGTCTATTTTCTCCAATTCCATATTCCATAAAATGGCATTTATTCACATTGAATTCCATTTACCACATGACGCTCCAAGCACTTATTTTATCAAATCAACTTGAAGGGCATTCCTATCGTCTCACACACACACACACATTACAAGTGTGTGTGTGTGTGTGGTACGTTATCGCGCTGCCCTGCTGTATCTTATCAACTCCATAACGTGGCAGTGTTGAGAAAACATCCACTAGCAATATTATTTACATAATGCCCACTGACAACAAACCCAACGTTGCCAGACGTTCAAACTCCTTACACGAGGGCCATCTTAGCACTCCCCCTCCCAAAGTCTTACCACTATTCTGGCCCCAAGACCTTCGCGTGACCATGAGATGTTGGTGATAATGGCGAATGCCCTCCCATCTTCACTCATCACACGAGTCGACGGTCGTGGACCCCATAAACACCACTCTCCCTCGAAGCTGGTGCCTGGCGCAAACCCAGAGTTGCTAGTGGAGGCCAATAGATCAGTCTTACGTTCTTTCCTATAATAACCCCCATTACCACTCCCCTCCTCCAGATAATAACCCCATTACCAACCAACCCCCCTCCAAATAATAACCCCATTACAACCCCGTCCTCCAGATAATAACCAACGTACTACCACAAGTTCGCCATGCACTTCGAGGACCTGCTGGCGGAGATCGGGTCCTTCGGTTTGTACCAACGTCTCCTGTGCTTCGTGCTCATCCCGCTGACGACAGGGGTCGTTGGCCTGACCTTCTACGTGCAGCTCTTCCTGCTGACGGCGCCGCCCCACACCTGCCTGCAGGAGCCGCGCCCCCAGTCTGCAGGCGACCAGGCCGCCCACCCCCTCTACCAGGACCTCTCCCGCCTTCTCAATGATACTGCTTATGTGAGAGAACATGGGGGGAGGGGGGGGATAAGGTGTGTGTGTGTGAGGTGTGTGTGTGTGTGAGGTGTGTGCGTGTGTGAGGTGTGTGTGTGAGTGTGTGTGTGTGTGTGTGTTTACTAGTTGTGTTTTTACGGGAGTTGAGCTTTGCTCTTTCGGCCCGCCTCTCAACTGTCAATCAACTGTTTACTAACTACTTTTTTTTTCCACACACCACACACACACACACACACCAGGAAGCAGCCCGTGACAGCTGACTAACTCCCAGGTGCCTATTTACTGCTAGGTAACAGGGGCATTCAGGGTGAAAGAAACTTTGCCCATTTGTTTCTGCCTCGTGCGGGAATCGAACCCGCGCCACAGAATTACGAATCCTGCGCGCTATCCACCAGGCTACGAGGCCCCTATGTGTGTGTGTGTGTGTGTGTGTGTGTGTGTGTGTGTGTGTGTGTGTGTGTGTGTGTGTGTGTGTGTGTGTGTTTTATATAAAGGTGTAAGGATTTTTTATGTCTCTAAAACGTATTGAACATATTAAGAAGAATAAATAATAATAAGATTAATTTAAAAAAAAAAAATAATAATAATAATAATAATAATAACAATAATAATAATAATAATAATAATAATAATAATAATAATTATAATAATAATAATAATAATAATAATAAAACAAATAAAAGTATCCATATAACTGCTACTGTTGGATTACTTTCTGCCAGTTTTGACCTCTTGGTGACGCGATGAAAAAATGAGTTGCAGGCAATTAGTGTGTGAATATGCGGGACCCAGAGTATATCTCACCCTGTATGCCCACCACAGGACACACCTGCCAGACTGCCCTACACCTGCCACCAGTTTGACCCCAACGTGACCTCGGCATACATCACTTCCTCTGACATCAACTTGACCTCGCTGGGGCAGCTGCCGCCTCCTAACATGCCCTGTGTCAACGGGTGGCAGTATAACTTTGATCACATATTTCCTACCTATACCTCACAGGTCAGTACAGGTTATATCAGCCCAATATACATTATGTCAAACCAGTACACGGTATCTTTGGTTAGTAGGTGACATATCAGACCACCATAGCCTAGTACACGGTATCTTTGGTTAGTAGGTGACATATCAGACCACCATAGCCTAGTACACGGTATCTATCTTTGGTTAGTAGGTGGCATACCAGTCCACTATAGCCTAGCAGACCACCATAGCCTAGCAGAGGTTAGGTTGGTGGGGGGCAGTGTTGCCACACGCTAATGACGCCAACTCTCCGCAGCATGACTGGGTATGTACTGAGGCCTGGCGACCCTACATGGTGGTCACCGTGTTCTGGATTGGCAACACCATCGGCTCTTGGCTCTGGGGAGCCTTGTCTGACACGTGAGTCATTACAAGTCATCACAAATCATCAAGGGTCATCATAAATCATCAAGGGTCATCACAAATCATCAAGGGGTCACCACAAGTCATCAAGGGGTCATCACAAGTCATGCTGAGTTACCATACAACCGTCACCTGCCAAACCAAGTCATCACAAGCCATTCTGAGTTACTCTTAATGGCTGTAAGTAACACTAAGCCATCACCGGCCGCACTTGATCACCCACGATAACTTCAAGTTATTCAGAGTCATTATCGACCTTACTACGAACTCCTGGATCAAGCGAGAGAAGAGCAAAAACTTATTGAAATTCATCATAAGCCATTCTAAGTCCGACAAGTTGATCTAAAATTATGCTAAGAAGGTATGCTAAAAAGGTAAAATTATGCTAAGAAATTATGGGAAAATTATACTAAGGCTTAGCGTTTATATTGTTGGTTTATATTGGTATGCGATGCTAGGTAGATCATGTCGGGCTGAGCTGACGGACATACTTATTGTTGAAGATTAAAGAAAGACCCAATTTATGTTTAAGTGTATTAAAAACCACATTTCCGGATGTAACAGACATCCTGTCTTAGGGTGCTGTATATAATGTTCTCAATGTATACAGCACCTTGAGGAAGGATGTAAGTTATATCCGGATTTTTGTTTTGTTTAATACACTTACACATATATCGAGTCTTTCCTTCACCTTTATTCAAGCACTACGACATTATAGTCAGTTTCTCCATACTTATTATATATTGTTTCTAGTGTACCCATAAACAGTGTATCTTAATTTTTCTCCGAGTTGTTACTGCTGATAGCATCCTGTGAGGTCCAACAAGTGAGAACATTACAGGTGCGGGAGGCGGCCGACGGTGGTAGCAAGCCTAGCCGTGTACGGGGCGGCCGGAGTGGCGTCAGTCTTCATCAACAACTTCTACGGGTTTGTGGCGCTCAGGTTCCTGGTGGGGACCTCACACCACACTGTGTCTCACCTTCCCTTCGTCCTGGGTCCGTCACCAATCTATCCCGCAACCTTTCTCTGCCACATATTGACAAGACTAATAAATAAACAGTAAACTAATTATTAGAAAACAGAATAGATTATTGATGTGTGTATTTGTGTGGGTGATTAAATATGTATGTGTATGTATATATGTATACGTATGTATATGCGCATGTATGCATGAGTATGTGTACATGTATATATAACATTAATAGTTTTGTAACTAACGTCAAAAGATTGTTATTTGCTTAGCTAGACGAACTAGAGGGTTCAGTTCCTGAACCGATTATGTGTCTCTGTAATCCTTTACACCACCGCCCACGGGATGGGTATGGGGTGCATAATAAAGAAAGAAATTGAAAAGGAAATTGAAGAAATAAATTATATACAACATTGCCAAACGACTGACCAGCATGAAGTGCATATCTACATTGTTAAGCGCAGCTAAACTGTTCTATCTTCTCCCTGAACTCATTAGATATCAAGGAATTTCTCTCATTCACATTTTTAATTTTTTTGTTTAATTCTTATTCATTATATGATGAAGACGCCTAATGGTGCTGACGTCACACTTACAACTGTTATATGTTATACAATAATACAAAACTTTCAGATTTGTTTTTAGTTTAGTTTATTATACGCTCCATCACACCATCCCGTGGGTGGTAGTGGAGAGAGGTTACAGAAGCACATAATGGGCTCGGCAGTTGAACCCCAAAATTTCTTTAGTTAAGCAAGTTATAGCACCGATAAGCTATTTACATAGTTTAACAAATGTGTAAATCAAACAATCTCTTCACAATTTATGAAGCTACTAACATCCGTGTTATCCTAAGACGCCCTAACACAAAGAGTGAGAGATTATCCAGCTAGTAACACATAATTATAACTTGCATATGCATGCAGTGGACGGAGGTGGAAAGGTTGCAGGCACTGCATGCACTACCTATAGTTTGCAGTCTTGCGATAATTTGCTAAAATTGATGATATTAGATCATTTTGAAATGAATACTTGCTCATTTATTGATCATTTGCGATAGCCATCTTTAAATTGTTATTTTGTTTACATTCCATCACAGAGTGCTGCAGTGTGTGTGCGAATAATTTTGCTGCCAGAGATTACATTTGGAGATGCAAACTCCCAGAGATACTTATAACCTAGCCTAAGTCCAGCAGTTGTAACATCTAGAAGTCTCGCCATGAAATCACAATGGTGTGATGTATCAATGAAAATCATTTCATTGATACATCACGCCAAGTCACTCCATTGTCTCAAGATGATTTGCATCTAGAAGTCTGCTAATTGCCTTGGATGATCCACAGATGTGTGGTCCTTCTTGCATGGTAGTATGACAGGTGGAACAGCTAGTGTAGGCTTCACTTTGTCTCAGATCAACAAAGGTTTTGTTGAAGTTCTTGTTTTATTGGTTTCAGGCTGCTTAAAGGCAATCTAAGGCTACAGTCACCTCTTTCTTTCGATAATAAAAGAAAACTTTTTACTAATTCTAGGCAGTTTAGCAAAATAGCGAATATTGATTTTGAATTTTTAATATTTTTCTTGGTTTCACCAGAAATACAAAACTTTAAATAACTATTGAAACCTGGATTGGCGAATCCCAAGAGTTTATTGTTTTTTGAGTCCTGTTAGTGTATCCATTCCCGTCTGTGGTAGAAAATAATAATAATAATAATAATAATAAAATATATATTCCCAGCCCGTCCTCCTAAAGTTTCTCAACGTCAATGTAAAGTGTCCTCTCCTAACCTACCAGAGGACCCAAAACAGAAAATGGGACAGTACATCACTTTCGCCAGCCGCTTCCATTATCTAGATCGATAATTTTTGGCCTTAGTAACGCATACGAGCGAAAAGCGACGTTCTTTATAAGAGGGCAGGTTGAGAGTCCATTCTCCTGTTTTCTGTCCCGTTTTCTGTTTGGGTCCTCTGGTAGACTTGGATAAGGCCCTTTAGTACGACAGTTTTTTGACCGTTGGGAAACCTTAGGAGGACGGGCTGGTGTGACACCTTAACTCCCCCTCCTCCCTCCCACATGCGTTTGATGAAGTTCAATGTGTGGTGTGTTAATACGGATGACAGTGGTGGAGTACTGCGGGGTGGAGAGTCGCGTGGTGCCTCTCCTGACGCTGATGATGAGCTACACCCTCGCCTCCATCCTCATCCCCGCCCTCGCCTTCGTCGTCTGGGACGGGTTTACCCTCGCCCTGATCACTGCCTTGCTCCCCCTCGTCCTGCTCCTAGCCTTCAGGTCAGTCCTCGAGGATTTTGAGTTTATTTGCGCTCTCAAGATGTCCTAACGCATGTCTTGTGGCCTTCATGATAGTTCAAGGTGACGACAAGTAGATTCTATTCCCTGAAAATGACCGTCAACGAGTAGGCCTTGATTTTGTTTCTCTGTAATGAGAGAGACGTGTCTCTTGATAACAATACAGGTGGATCCCGGAGTCCTCGTCCTGGCTGGTGGCTAGGGGTCGTGGGGAAGCTGCGAGAGCCCAGCTGACTACGGTGGCTAAAGTGAATGGACATCAACTGCCTCAGGAGATGGTCACCCAACTTCTCCATGATGCAGACGATGGCGAGGAAGGTCACTCAGGTTACAGGAAGCGAGACGCTAAGGGAGGTCACCGCAGCCAAACAAGTATCATCCACGCCATCAAGTACCCAAGTCTGAGGAAGAATATTCTGCTGGTGCTGCTCATCTGGTAAGTTCACGAGGACACATTCGTGGGCTGGCAGTCATTGGGGCTATGTTTCCAGTCCCAGACACTACTTGTTCCAACATTATCTTTGGTTCCATGCACAACTCTCCTTCCGTGGAACATTCTCTCAAGCTCAGACCGGCGGCAGTCTGTATGCTGCAATGCTTAGTTATATATAAAGTAGTGTCTAGAGTCTGATGCATTACTTCAGAAAAATTCAGGTAAAAAAAAATATGGTTAAATCCCCTTGAGCCAATTCTTACTACATGTTTAAATGACTGATGTATCTAGCAGGTAATTTTGTGGGCCTTAATTAAGCATGAATCAATGCACCAGCACCGTAGGTGTTCCCCTCAGTGCCCCCTGCGACAGTTCTCACCCTTCCCTCTGCTACAGGATGCTGGCCTGCATGTGCTACTATGGCCACTGCCAGAACACGGCACACCTGGCCAGCAACGTGTTCATGAGCTACCTGCTGGGGGCGCTGGTGGAGGTGCCGTCCTGGTGTGTTCCTTGGCTCATCCACCGCCTGGGACGCCGCCGCCCCCTCACCGCCACCTTCCTCCTCTCCGGTGTCGCAGGGCTCGTCTACGCCCTTGTCCCGGCAGGTGCGTCAGAACGGTTTGGGATAAAATAGTGGAATGTGAGATAAATATGGAGGCAGAGTTGTGGGAGCGATGGAGACGTTTGAGGTCACTGTGATTGGTTGAGATGTTATATTGAAGAAATTAAGCTTGCAGGGACTATACAAGCTGTGTTGCATTCCAACTCATCCTCAAACAACTTATAGACGCGATGGCCACTATGGAATGTACACAATATGTGCCCCAAAGAAAGTCAAGTTGTGTACTATTTGAATTTTTAAGGGCATAATAATAAAAAGTGGAACATTAGCCATAAACCTAACATGTCCTAAGCCTAAATACACAATCATATTTACCTGAATTTACATGAGAGCCACTAACACTCTAGTGGCCTCGACGAAGACAGGAAGACTGCGGCTTGTCAAAGATCCCCCCATTTGTCCTGATGATTTTTTTCCAAGCTGGATTTTAAAATTCAGCAGTGTTGGCGTTTATGGCTTCGACGGGTAGGAGGTTCCACGGGTTTATAACCCTGTCGGGTGAAAAAATTTCCTCTTTTCAGTCCTGCATTGTGGCTTGTTGAGCTTAAAGCTGTTGTTCCTTGTTTGCTTGGCATGCGCAGTCTTAGGCCTAACCGGAAGTTGGGTAACTGTTGTACTTGTTGGGGGGGGGGGGGGTCAGCCTGGGGAAGATCAGTTGTTCCACCTTGGGGGAACCTTGACATAAGCCTAACGCATATATATATACCTAGGCTTCCTGTTCCCGACAATGGTAACTATTTATTATTAATTATAGTGACCTCAGATGTTGGTGAATGGTAATGTGCGCGCGTAGGATGCTACCTGGTGGCCACCTGGTGGTTAATATGGTTGTTGTCAATCGTCTGGTTGCCCGCTTTCAATTTCAAATTTGTCTGTTGAATAATTTAAATTAGTTTATTAGTGTAAATTATAACATCAATACTTTCACAGTCATGACGGTATGTGTAATTCTGTTTCTCGCAATGGTTGTTGATAAGTTGTCTTATAGCAAATTATGTATGTCTTGTCTTATTTAAGTTATTTAACTTAAGTATGTCTTATTTAGCAAATTAATTGTGATATTCATAGGATTTATTGAAACTTCTTTTATTAATTCATTCACTAGTACATTAACAATGTACTGCATTAATTTAGCTTAATTTATATAGCCTTATTTGAAGTTATACTCTACGTCCGTTTTCTCTAGATGTTCCCCATCGTTGTTTGAGCGCTGTTTGTCGACATAATTGTATTTGTGCTGCTTTTTCATCTATGTTTTCATTTCTTGTTTTCATTCTACTCATTATGCTCAATTAGTATTAAGCTTGTCATTTAAGTTTATCATGCCCGAAACGCTTTACGTAATAGTGGCTTTAGGCATTGTATGTACTAGCTCTACCTATAAGTCAAACAATCCTTGTAAAAATTTATTGTATGTATGTACCTTACCTAAATAAAATTGTATTGTATTGTATTGTATTGTATTTCTCTTGAGCATGTACTGATAAATTATTCATTGTGACTGCAGACATGGAGTGGCTACTGCTGGTGGTAGCGCTGGCGGGGAGAGCCACCATCACCGGGGCTTACTACATCACCCTCCAGTACTGCCCCGAGGTCTTCCCAACGGTGGTCCGCGGGCAGGGCGTCGCCTTGGCGGAGACTCTGGGCGGCGTCGCCATCTTCCTCTCGCCCTCTATCGTCTACTTGGTACTGTCTCACTGATTTGTTAAATATCTTTGTTTAATTCTCCTCTCGTTTTATTAAGGGTGAGATTTGCCAAAAAAATACAGTTTTCTGACCAGGGGGAGAAAGATACTGGCAGCATGGGGCGTTAAAGTTTATTGAAGATTAAATTCTGCAGAACATGTAAATATATAAAGTAAGAATTAACAGTAACAATTCCAAGTCCGAGGACTAGATTTAACTTAAAAGGTACACCCGTAGTAATTATGAGACCTTAGCCTATAGTGACATGGAAACTAATTCTGTTTTGTGTGTAAAACTAGTTTTGTGAGGGCAGCGGCGAGGGCAGGCGGAGTGAGGGCAGAGCCCCATTGTGCGCCCGTATTTATACGGCCCCAAACTGCCCGCGCAACGCCGCGGGACGCGCTGCGCAATTGTTTCTTTCTCCCCCGCCAGAAACATCCCCGCTTGCGTCAAGCAGTGACCATTTCCGTTGTCGGAAACTATTGACTATTCCGGCAGGATGAAACCAAATACAACTGTATAACTTCTAGTATATTAGGCTAAATGAAACATGCCCAAACGTTTCTGACCTGCCGTAGGAATCGCATTTAATTGTAAACCGGCTGAGTGGACTATTGCACAAAACTCATGGACAGTGTTATACACTTTATTACAAGCAACAGTACAATGGAACTTCATTGTGTTGAATTCAATTTTGCTAGAAATTACCTACTTAAAATTGTCTTTTAGATTAAGGACCTGTCCGAAACGCTACGCGTGTTAGTGGCTTTACAAGAATGGCGACCCTAGGGTTTTGCTAGAAGCCTATGTCATGTCATACGGGTTGTAGAATCTTAAGTCGGACCATGTGGCGTGGAGTCGCCTCAAGTAAGAGTCTTGGGGTCCCTTGGTATGGAGAGTTAAAGTAGAATACGGGTACAGAGAGGGGCAGAGAGAACGAAAAGAGACGAAGTACAGAACGGAATACCCACCCCCATGTTACAACATGGCGGCAAAATTTAACTCGCATTTTTTTTTTTACTTTTGTTGCATTTGTAAAATACCACCATAAAGTCCAACTCATTAGCTTAAAAAAGATACCAAACTGAACACTTTACCATGCATAATAACTTCGCAGTATGCGTTGGAAGTAAAATGTTGCTTAAGTGATTTGCGCTCTGCCTAAGTCGCTGCAGGTTGCGCCCATAATTGGTAAGGGGGCAAAACGCTGATTTTTACCTAATTTACCTGAGGGCAACTAACCCTAATGGCCTCGACGAGCACAGGAAGCCGGCAACTTGTCGAAGGCCTCCCCCACCCCTTCCATTTGCCTTGATCTTTTCCAGGTAGATTTTAAAACTTAACACAGTTTTGGCATTTACGGCCTCGACGGGTAGGTGAACGTTGTGCCCTATTCTCCAATATTCAGCTCGACTATTATTAGAAAAACGTATGTCGTTGTCATTATGTTATGAAAACTACTGAGTTATCATGCTGTCTGCAGACTATGTATATTGTATCATTCACAGGGGGAGTGGCAGAAGAGAGCGCCACTGATGGTGTTCAGCGGACTGTCGGTGATGGGCGGGATGGCGACTCTCCTGCTGCCGGAGACGGCTGGCGTGGTGTTACCTCAGACACTCCACAACGCTGACCTCTTCTTCAGCCAGGCCGCCACACCGTGCTCCAGGTCTCTAGTCCAACCCTCTCTCTATCAGTTTAACGTAATTTTAGTGAGGTAGTTTTGATGACAAACCTGCTTGATATTTGGTTGATGGGGTTCTGGGTTCAACTTCTACTCCCCAAGCCCGGCCCGAGGCCAGGCTTGACTTGTGAGAGTTTGGTCCACCAGGCTGTTGCTTGGAGCGGCCCGCAGGCCCACATACCCACCACTAGTTTTCTAGTTAGCTTATTTATTTGACTGATTATAATGCAAATATTGAAATATTCAACAGCAGTAAAGTTTTGTTTTTGTAATGTTTTGATTTCAGATGCTCGCTTACAGGAGGTGAGAGAGAGACTGAAGCAGACCTATAGAGCTAAGGTAAGGTAATTATGAGGACAAAGTGTTAAGCCAGTGACTATATAACCCGACAGACATAAACATTTGGTCCTTCGCAATTATAGTCAGCTGGAAGTGGAAACAATTATGCATTTATATGACGACATCTCGACGTCTGGGCTTACAGACCATTGAATTGGTGTCCGTCTCTTCAGACTCTTCTTGTCACATTCCGGAAAAGCTATATTTGTTAAGATATAAGGAAACAAAAATAATCAAGTGTTATATGAAATAATTATATTTTTCCAGGGACATGAGTTTATCGTGCACCCCAAACTTATTAAAATGCTGTTCCATATATGAATACAATGTATTTTCTTTTTATAAATAAATTTTATTCATATGTATAGGTTGTTGTGTACCCTCATGCCTTCACTGTAAGGTATACTTTACTAATGAACCATTGTAAACTCATCTGTGGCACGATCGAAAGGATACAGAGAACACAAAAGATTTTAATCAAATATTGATGGTAGTTAGTTTAGTTAATTTATTATGCACCCCATACCCATCCTGTGCGCGGTAGTGGAAAGGGTTACAGAGGCACATAATGGGTTCAGGGACTGAACCCCACAATTCATTTAGCTAAGGAAGTTACAATCTTGATGAGCTAGTTACAAAATTCAATGCACATCGTCAGATCAACAATGGGCTCGAGACCAACAAACAAGTAGTTCCTAAATTATATGTGGAGAGCTAGTGTGTCAATTGATATGTTTGTCCTGCACACCGCCCCCCATCCAGTGGGCAGCGGTGGATAGGTTACAATCACTCAGTTACTACCTACAGTTAGCAAACTAGGGATATTTGGCTAGATTTCTGGCAGCAGATCATTTTGAATTAAATATTTACACATCTCTTGAACATTTGTTATAGAAATGTTTTTGAATTCACGTATCTTTTCGCACTCCATCACATAGTGACGGAGGGTGTGCGAATAATTTTGTTGACACAGTTTACATTTGGTCAGGTCTACATCAGCAGATAATGAGAATTCCCAGAGATACTTGTAACCGAGTCTAAGCCGAGCAGTAGTAACATCTAAAAGTCTGCTGATTTTATTGGATGAACCATAGATGTGTGGCTCCTCTTGCATGATAGTATAATGATAGATGGAATTACTGGTGTCGATTTCACTTTGCTTCAGATCTACAAGATTTTGTTAAATTTCTTGGTGTACTATTGCTCTCAGACTGCTTATTGATAATCCAAGTTTATACTCAATTTCTCCTTTAAAGGCAGATTCTTTGGCCAACTTATTAGTTCTGTCATACATTCGGAGGCCAACATGAGATGAAGACCGGGGAAATGAGACCAAGTGTTGCATGCCTTAAAGGATTTATCAACTGCCGTATTACAATTTTATTATTTTTTCTATTTTCCCCGATTGTGTGCAATGGAAAATTTTTGGAAAGATAAAAAGTGAGACGGCATTGTCCCCCACCTGATGAAGTACCATGTTAGAAACAGTGAACAATGAAAAACAATGCTATAGCATTTTACAAAAATATGATTGCTGTGAATTACATGAAGTCCCAAATATATATATATATATATATATATATATATATATATATATATATATATATATATATATATATATATATACACATATATATATATATACACACACTTCACAAATGTCCACCACTGAAACGAGAGAATAGACTGCATAAAGTTACCTTAATTTATTGGTGCATAGTGAATGTCTCGACACACTGAGACCAGAGCATAATCATCAGTGCTTGTAATGATGTTAGTTGTTCTTCCTAGAGAAACTTAACTTCATAGACACGTAAGCTATGAGGAGCCAGCAGGGCTGGTGTTCTTTAAGGCTGCAACAGAGGTGTGGTCTTGGACAGGGCTGCAGCAGAGGTGTGGAACTGAACTGAACTCAGAATGTATCAGATTTATCATTTGTACCAAGAGAGACGACGACGGCACTTTCCTGCACCGTGGGAGATTACACCCTTTCCAATTTTAATCCCTAACTCCGCCCAAGAAGCAAATTAGAGCAAATTATTGTATTTCTAGCATTAAATTTTGCCTCTATTTTACAGGCAAACATGGCTGATTATAATGTAAATATTCTGTTTACCGTTGGCAATAACTCTTACTTCTTCCACCTTATATGTTTATTAATATTTTATATTTTTGTCGCCAGTATATAAAATTACTGCATTTTAAGACACACTTTAATAAAAATTTAAAATTAATAACCTGTTATTTTTGTATCATAATCTACTGCAATCTTATCATATCATAATCTGTATCATAATCTTACTGCAATAGCAGTAAGATTTTATTATACAAATGTTGATATTTTGCCGTGTGGACAGATAAAAAAGTTCCTTCTTTTATATAGTATGGGAAGACCAACACAATGTAGCCAGATTCGGGATGATAAGTGGTCCGATGCAGACAAAACCTGCGACAAAAAGGAGCCAGTCACACCAATACATTGATCATCGTGTTACAACTTGGTACTGTACATATTTTGATGTATTGTATCTGTAAGACTCAAGAGTCTGTATCTGATGTATCCAAGTCTCAAAGACTTAACTGTGTGAAAAGAATATATGAGAAGACAACTATCTTGTGAGACAAACAGCAAGTCGATCAAGTAGTGCACCATAGAACAAATGAGAAAATAAATATGGAAAAGACCCAATACAATGGTTTTGTGCGAGAAGAAGCGAGAACATATGGAGGTCTGAGCACTTGTAATGAGTCGGTGTGTTGGCTACAATATATAAGGATTATGAACCACAGTAGCATGGAAGAATGTACTGACACTGACCTGCTGAATAATACTTACCAATACACAAAGTGGAATAAAGCCCTTATGTGCATTTTATCCATTATTAGAAAGGAAATACTAATAGACAGAATGTAAAGCTTTACCACACAATGTTGCAAAGACCACCTTTGAATTACTAAAAACTGGTAAACACAATATATTTAAGAAACCCAGCTTGAGTTAGACTGGACTCTTTGAGTGCCTCATGCATGGCGCTCAATATCTTTGGAATAAGCTTAAATAAATACTGAAAGACTGAGTAAGTCCAAATCTCAAAAGTTAATACAATAAGTAATTATCCAAAGAAACCACCAAGCTGAAAAGTTGATCAAGTTTTAGTGAGAAGTTTAGCACTGGTGTCAACCATACATCCTCTCCATATCTGTTTAGAAACACTGAATTAAACTAAACTGCAGCAGTTTATTAAGGAACACACTAATACTTAAAGCAGAATAATTATATTTTGTTATAGGATATTTAGGGTTATTTTAAAAGATTAAAAAAAGTGGCAAAATTTTATAGATTAAATGAATTATCAGATGCTGCAGAAATTACAACAAATTTAAATAAAAGCAGAAAACAAGAAAAACCAATATTATATACAGTAGGCTTATAGTGAAAAAGAAAATACCTTTCATGGAAGGTTATACCTGGAATGAACTTCAATACGTTACACACATGCATATGTCAATCTTCACATTAATCATTATTGTGCCTTAATAATGATATAATAACAAATAAAATATAATAAAGACAATCAGTTTTTTATAAGCCACTCAAAGAGCTATGTCCTAGAATGTTAATTTCATATACATTTACAATGTAAATGTAAACAAAGCCATACAAACTGATGTTTGTTTCTTAATGATGTAGATACTCCACTTATTCATTTATGGCATTACTATATAAAATAAGTGTCATAATCTGATACTATGCCAGAACATTTATCCAATTTGGGACTGGGTTTCAGCATAGAATTTAAAAGTAAAGTTGCAGCTTAAATTAGAGGCACACTATGTATGTATGTATATTATTAGATGTGTGTATATGTGTGCATGTGTGTGAGATATATATAATATATATATATATATATATATATATATATATATATATATATATATATATATATATATATATATATATAGCTATCTATCTATCACACACACACACCAGTACAGTATATATATATATATATATATATATATATATATATATATATATATATATATATATATATATATATATATATATATATATATATATATATATATATATATAACAACGAGTCATAGAAGCTCCACAGCTGCATATCAAAGGAGATTACATTACAGCACCTATAACAGTTTTCAAAATGCCAACCAAGTACATAGTAATTCACAGTACTGCACTGATATACACTATCAACAGGCAGAAGTTGTGGGGGGCAGGCAAGGCACGGTAAGAGGGGCAACACTCACCTTCCGCTGCTCAGGTAAACATTGTTAACATTTTCTCACATTAACTCACACAACTCTACAGTAACACTGACCCGGTTCATCAGTTTGCGCAGCCTTTCACCACTCGTGAGATACAACATATTTAAAAGGGGGAAATGGTATCAAAATAAAAAGTTATACAATATTTCTCTATTACATATATTGAGCTATACTGATATTAATCCATTTCAGAATTATCCATTTGACACAATTAATTACATCTTATAAATCAGCTGTGACTTAAAAGGCCATGAAGGCATTTTGGATGTCATTAAAGACAAGTGATTGACATTGATTGACACATGCGACATATGGATTGACACACATGTGACATATAGATTGACACATGTGACATGGATTGACACATGTGACATGGATTGACACACATGACATGGATTGACACATGTGACATATGGATTGACACACGTGACATGGAGTAACACGCATCTGACATATGGATTGACACACATGTGACATATGGATTGACACATGTGACATATGGATTGACACACATGTGACATGGATTGACACACATGTGACATGGATTAACACACATGTGACATGGATTGACACACATGTGACATGGATCAACACACATGTGACATGGATTAACACACATGTGACATGGATTGACACATGTGACATATGGATTGACACACACATGTGACATATGGAGATAACTCTCTCTTGTCTCCTGAGAAGGCACTAATCTAATGACTGGAAAAGAAAGCAAAATATAACAATTAAAAAAATAGATTAACAAGTTGAAAGCAGTGGAAATATTATATAAAACAAACACTTGAAACACCCTGTAAATTTAAATACTATTTCAATGTACACAAATCCTGCATACCAATAATGTGTTTACAATGTGATTAAAATCCCACAACACCAATATCTCTAAATTATTACCAAAAACAAATACAAAAGTTTATTTATAAGAAAACTAGCAACATTTCATATTTTCTAACAAACATCAAGACACACTTGACTAGATCAGCATAAATGTCACAACAATGCTAACAAAATCATTTCCATTAAATCAGTTTGTGCAAAATAATCCTGCTCAT